GGATCTGAGCTCTGAATCTATATTCCCACAGTCCTAAATTTATTAAAAAAAAGTAGAACTTATCTAATACAGCGACAATTATATTATTTAAAATAATAATTTAATTGATAATGTATATTATAATTAATAATTAATATTTAATAATAAAACATAGAATAATATTGTACATTATATTATTATATGATGGTAATCTAATCGGTATGGTTATAAACAAAATTACAAAATGATATACTTATTTTGTTTTCATATTAAAATAAAAAAAAGAGTCATTCAATATGATGGTTTATTTTTAGGGATTTAAAAACTGACAACCCTATCTAACACTATTATCCAATTCGAGGACCGAAAAGACGAAAACGAATTTCCACCACCATTATTTAAATAATAAATTTGTATATTAATAAAATAAAACTCTGTTTTTCTTTAAATAATGAGTAATAAATATTTAAATGTAAATTAGCATGAACACCTTTGGGGGTACTAAGCACACCCAAGCCCCCCCCCCAAAATGAGCCTATGGATGACATGATGTAACATTATATCTATGTCTTGAAATTATTGTATATTTTACAAAATAAGAGTAATTTCGGGAGGAGGGGGGTATAACTAGTTAACCCCCTTGACTACGCCATTGCAAATCGGCGTTACCTCGAATGAGATTTTACCTTCTCATCTTTATTCTGTTATTATTAGGGCCCGGAATTATATGCACTAAAAACGTACAAAATATGCATGCATTTATGCGATGGTTTTCATTCAAATATGTACTCAAAATATGTAAAAATATGCGAAAATATGCAAAAAAAATGCATGTTTATTATTTATTAAATTTATTTAATTTTAAAATGTATACTATTCATTAAATATTAATATTAATATTAATATTATTTTATATATTTATTTAATTATTTTTTTTATGATTATTATTAATATTAATTTAATATTATTTTAATTTAATATTCAAAAAAAATATACTTCAAAATATATAAACTGTATTTTATATATTTTATTGAACTGTATGAAACTGTATGTTGCATTGAAATTAAATTGTATTTTAAAGACTCACTCATCTAAACAAAAAGTCTCAAACGAAAATCAATTTAAACAAATCAAGTGGATTTTTATAATATTTTCAAAGTTATCTGGAGAGTTACTATTGTATTGGTACTTTTAGAAAACTGTATATCTTATTATAACACAAAATCAAATTATATAACTGCACGATTCACGGAATTTACGATGAACATGCGCGAAGTAATAAATAATAATATTAATAACTTCGTAATATTTTTTTCTATATATGCATTATACTTCGAAAAATGCTAAAATATGCATAATAATTTGAAATGTTCCAAATATGCAAAAATATGCCAAATTTAATTTCCCATACCAACACATTAGATTAAGATTCAAATTTCTGTCTTGCCTAGTTACTTTTTAATTTAATATATAAAAATATGCAAATGCATACAATTCCGGGCCCTAATTATTATTATTATTATTATTACTTTCTTATACAGTGTGATCACGATAAATGGAAACACTCAATAACTTTGTGCAGGCTTCATATATTTTAATTCTTCTTTTTTGACTTACTAATAAACATTATAATACACATTTTCAGATAATTAGACTATTTTTGTCACAATTGATTTCACGCATGCGCGCAAAAACTTTTTTTTTCGAATGACAAGACGTATTTTTGAAAAATAACTACCTAATCCAATTTATGAAATAACTGCTTACCTATTTTATTTATCATTATCAAAATTATCTCAGTAATTGTATTATAATTAATATCATATTTGCATAGGTACTAGTTAAAAATTAAATCAATGCATTTTTCACGGTCGATATTATTCTGCAGTAAGCGTCACTAGTGGCAGTAACTAATAAGAAATGAAAATCGATATGTTATAGTTTTTAAACAGATTTAATATTTATCTATTAGTTATTATGGATAATAATTCAGCAAAAGTTGACATACTTTATACATATTAGGAATGCCAAAAGAATACACGTCGTGCCCAAGAAACTTATGCTCTTCGTTATCCGAGTAACTATTATTTTAATACAATTACTGAGATAATTTTGACAAAGATAAACAAAATAGGTAAACAGGTATTTCATAAATTGGATTAAGCAGTTATTTTTATTTTTATTTTTACGTATTTATTATTATTAATTTAGGAAAAGATAATTTTTGCATTTGTAAATGACTAAATCTCTCTTGATGGGAACCATGGTTTAAACTTTAAACAGCTACGCTTTTATTATAAAAATATAAAATATTAAACCTAATAATAACATTTGTAATACATTTTCGCTTGAAGTATTCGCAATGAATTGCGTATTTTTAAATTACGATAATGTGTTTTTTTTTTTTTTTTTTTTAATTGTGTATTATTAAATTAATTTAACTATTTTAATTTAAATTTAGCAATATATGAAACTATTATAATAGTAATGATATTATCGTTTTATCAATGTTATCATATTTTGATAGCTGCAAAAAAGGGGCTAAATATAGGCGATATTATATACGGACACAAACAATTTTTTCCTGCAAAGATCCATTTGTCGAAAAAGTCGTATCTCCATGATATATTTATTATTTTACTGATAATATTATTTTCGATGAAAATGAAATACTATAATACATTATTACCATACTGTTAATTGTTTTTATAAATAAAATGTTATACTGTTAATTGTAGCTCTTAATTATAAGCCGAACAAAGAAATCAATTATAAACTAAGATTTACTGATATATTGGTTAAACCATCCACTGTTAAGAAATAATAAACAGAACGCAGTTATCTCAGAAAAATTACCACAACTACATATGCATAGAATAAAAATAAAAAAATAAAAATTCGAACATTTACAGCAACTTAAAAATAGTACCTATGAAAAAAGACTATCATCATTTTTTTGATAATTTGACATTTCAATGATAATTTGAATTTTATTTTATATTGTATTTTAACATTTATTTAATTAAAAAACTGTATTTTATTGTAACTATTCAAATACTGAATCTATAAGACTAAAGATAATATGGTTAACTATTGTTTTAATTTTTTTTTATATTAAAGGTTGTTATTTATTATTTTAAATTTGTTCATTGAACTATTGTGATAGTATCAGTTATTTTATTATATCTAAACATTTATTTTATGTATAAACTATATTTTATTAAAGATATTCACAAGGACTGAATACTATAAAACCAAAGATATGGTTGACAACTGTTTTAATTTTTTTTATTATTTTTAAAAGTTGTTATATATAATTAATTATATAAAAGTTAACTATTGTTATTTATTTTATGTTATTATTAAGAATTGTTGTCCAATTATTTTATTAATACACCTACATCTTTTTGTCCTTTATACAAAGGTTTATCAATTAAAATACAATCGAGTCGCGATAACTCGAAGTTGAAGAGGGATAAAAATTCACTTCGAGATATCCAACTAATTTATAGCAAAATAATTTTCTAGGGGAATAAAACACGATTCAAGTTGTCAATTTTTTCGAGTTATCACGACTCGACTGCACTAAATAAAATACGGTACTAATATAATATTATAATATTTAAGTATATTTATTGCACAATACTAGGTATATTACCTAATTATGCTTAAAAGCTGTCTGGCATATTTCCATATAAATTAGGAATATTTGGAAAAAATGGTTGTAAATCCCATATGCAAATATCATAAAAGTCGTATCTCCATATTTATTAAATAATATACAAAGAAAAAGTTCTAAGTTCGTTAAAGTTAATTCACACTATGATGTTCAAATTGTTCTAACATAATTGCAATTGTTTTTTAAATGAAATGGAAAAAAATAGTGTCTAATTTTTGTAGGCGCATTAAATGAGGAGAAGAATAAAACATTTGATAAATTTTATCAGATGTTTTATTATTCTCCTGAAAAATTTGTAATTTTGGACATACGACCATTGCGATTTAGACCGACGATATGTTCCTTAGGGACGTATTTCAATAGGAACTCTATCAAAATATATACATCAAATTCTAAAACATTTTCATTACGCCTATAGATGGCAAGTGTACAAGTATAATAATTGACGCATTTGTAATTTTTTAAGTCAGAAACTTATGTTTTTACAATATTAACTACATTTTAAGTCATAATATAAGTTAACATTTTATCCGCAAGAAATTATTTTAATTTGAAATATATAAATAAATTTTGATTTGTATGTTTTTGTGAGTACAATTTTAAAAACATCAAACACTGTCACTATACAACTCAAACAAAGGATAATATTGATGTTAATGTGGTTTTTACTTTTGCTACCTTTAAATATATATATATAATAAAATATAACTTTTCATAGCAAAATATAATAATGATTATTAAAATTAATTTCTACATTTTGCAACATCAGGAATTCTATGTATCTACAGATATTATAAATTAAGCATAGTCTAGACACCCATAGTTATTTTAATAGTTTTTCAGTTACCTTACACACCAAAATCACATTAGATAATTGTTTATTATATCAAATAAAACTATAATAATTCAGTTAATTTTTATTATGAAGAATAAATATAATTATTTTTTTTTTCTATAAGTATATGAAATGAAAAAAAATAAGCGTATAAAAATAGTATAATATATGAATAAAATAATCATGTGGATATAATAGAAATCGCCCATAAACAACTCTTGTGCGACAGTGAAAAAAACAAAGCGAGAAGAAAAATCAAAATTGTAAATGAATCATCATAGTTTGTAATACACTATTTATTAATGAAAAATTATTTACAAAAAGTAATTAATATTATATTTCCCTAGTAATGATTATAACACATTACCGAAACACAATATGAATATAGCTATATGTAATACATATTAACATAAAGAACATACTTGGAATAATTAATTCACTATAAATATATTTTATTAAAATACTAAGAAATATCTAACAAGGAGGTAAATAAAAGATTATAAAGCATACTTTTTACTATACTTCTTGATGTTTATTTACTTATCTTATCGAGACTCAATGAAAAAAAAAACAATTTATGAGCGATTTCTAAGGTATGATTAAATGTGATGGTAATTATCCCCATATTGACTAAGATAAATATACTGTTGAAATCATGCAATACAATCGCATTATTAAAAATCCTCGCATATTTCAAGAGCATTTAAAAACAATAAAATTATATAAAACGAATGGAATGTAGACTTTAACATTGTTGAGTAATGAATCTTTAATCATTCTTCTTATTTTCAGCTTCTTTATAAGGCGGAGGAAGTTCCTGAAACAGAAAATTGTCAACATTTAAAATTAGAATAAAAATTTTGAAATATAACTTAATAAACATTTTTTTGTAACTACTTCTTGTAAATTTTCTTGAAATCAAATACTTACACTAAATATCATAAGTTACTAATAGATTTTTTAAAAACATGAAAAATAAAAACTTACGTAGTATGATGGTGGTGGAACATAGGCCATTTGTGGTCGGTTAGGATCAAAGTATGCACTTTGTGCTGCATCTGCTGCTTTGGTATCTGGAAAAATTATGCATCTGTTACTTTAAAATTAAAAAAAGGTGGAACTCCTAGATTGAATAAGTCTTTATGTCCAGATGAAATACAGGGATGTATGAATAATATTGCTGCATTGATATTTTAATCTTAAAAATAATGTACCATTGCTCTTAAAAACTTATGAGTGAATGAAGATAATGAATTAATATTTCTAAAGGTATTTGGTATAGAAGTAAAATTAAAGGTTCTTTTAGTTCTGTAGTATTAATTATAACTGTTCTAACTATGAAAAAAAAAAAAAAAAAGGTATCTAAAATTTAAGGAAAACTAAATTTTCAAGTTAAACAAAACAAATATCTTTAAAATGCGAATATAAATATTTAGTAAATGTTTCAAAACATTTACAGTCAGTTGATTAGCATTTATATGATACAACTAAATAACTAATATCGTTGAATGGAAATTTTTGGAAATATCAGATTTCATTCATTTTGTCATTTTGTAGACCAAATTTCAATAATTTATTTGTCATTAAATTATTATTTTCTCTTTTGTATTTCTTTGCTTTAAAATAATATAATTTTATAATTTATTATATATATTATATTATTATGTATCTTCAAACATATTTTAATGATATAATAAATGTACAGAACTAATATTAATAGTTATGAACTGAAAAAAAAATCACAAATAAACAAGTAAAATTATTATCTGAAAGCTATAGTATAACTGATTATACTATATAAATAACTGATGGTAGAAACTCAAAATAATTAATTTTTAATAGAATTTAAAATTAAATTAAATTAAAAACACATAAATACCTTGTCCATTAAAATGTTGTGGAGGTGGAGCCGTTTGTGCAGGTGGAGCACTTGCATATCCAGGATTGCCTGTAAAGCCAATAATACCTGGATATGGTGGAGGCATATCTGTTCTGTACACAGATTGAGCTAAACATGAGATAAAATTAATATTAACATTTTTATAGTGAAACCTTTTTCAGTCAAATCTATCTATAATTGTTTTGTTTTTTTATAGTAAAAATATTATAGAAAAATAATACGAGTAATATTATAATTCAACATATTATATTTATATTACTTAAAATTAGATCAATTATAGTATTTCAACATAAATTTAATGAAATTAATAATAATTACGAGGTGGTGCATCTGGGAAAGCTGCAGTTGAAGGCATCCATCCATAATAGCCAGGAGGTGGTACACCATATGGAACATCAGCCATATAATATGGACCTTCAGGTGGAGCATATGGTGGAGGATTATCCATTTGAGGAAAGTTGCTATTAGCTAAACATATACAATTAACATTTTTGAACTCGTGTATACATTTTTACAAAAGTATACAACATACCCATCGATGCAGCTCTTAACATGGCTTGCCCAAAATCAATAGCACCTCCTTTCTTGAAAATCAATTTGAATTTTGCTTCACCTACCCAGTTCCCATTAGGTTGAGCACGTATTTTACCTTTTATATAATTTGAACCAAAGACCGGTTGTTCCAATTCCACCTGATTTCCGTTAAATATGTCAAAATAATGATATTTAAAAAGAAGTAAAATATTGTAATTTCAAAAATACTAACATCTTTGAGAGTAACAAAAGGCATGCTAAATGATAAGAGGTCATCTTTATCCGATTTGTTGATAAAAATCAAACGATGAGTAGTTAAAAAAAGTTTTCCCACTTTTGAACCATGAAATGCTCTGCCATCTTGTCCATGAAAGTCAATAGTAACAGCATCCGTAAACAAAATAATACTAGAAAAAACAAAAGCAATATTAATCATTTTGTTTATCGAATAGATTCTATAATTGTTTTTCCTTCATGTCAAAATTAATATTTCCCAGTATACGTGATATGGGCATTCACCATAAAATATGCAAAACTGTTTAATAAAGCATTAAAAAATAGGTCTTACTCTAGCTTTAGTGTTAGTCTAAAAAAAATAAATGCAAGCGTACCCGTGTGTATGTATAAATATGTAAGCGTATATGTATGTGTGTGTGTACGGGCACATTGACATACGTGCATTGACCATTCGGAAACATCATCATACCGATAATAGCCAAATCCAGAGACAACTGTCAGGAAAATGGGTAAGAGGGCGGGGCAGAAGGAATATTTTTCATAATATGCAAAAGAGCCCAAAGCTCTTTGCCGATCATGCGATTCATGGGAATTACATTAGACGTGATGTATAAAACTTAAGATTTTCTTATACCTTATATCTATGTCTACGAGGATAAAAGATCAAGTATTAGGGATTATTGTTGACATCAACAATGTAACACATAGGAGGCTCTACGGGGTGTGCCTTGGCACACCCTAATGTGAATAATGTGAATAAAAAAATTTAATAATTACAATTAAAAATATATGTGCATACACATTAATTAAATTTTAGTTTTTTGTAAGTAATACTCTAACAATAAAGTGTTCAGAATAAGTCTGAAATAATAATTATGTGTATTTTTTACCAATCATTATTTTACATCATTAACGAAGCCTTTATTTTTAGAATTTAAATCATAACACGGTCTACACATAAGTGTTTATTGCCTCCCCTTTATACTTTAAAAAAATAATCAAAAAATAACAGAGCACACTGAAATGTAAGACTCTGAGTCTACCTATGATATAACATAATATTTTGTAAAAATGTATCACATAAAGAGTATATTTAACTTGTTATTTTACACATCCATGTGTTTATCATTGCTTTTGTCAAATCACATTACGAAATCAACATATTTTAAAGCATGGTCAATATTAACTAAGATTGGTCGGACTAAATTATGAAATTGTATAAAAAAAAAAAAATCATATTTTTCCCAGTACAAAAATTTATCCTGTTCCGCTGTATAAAATATATACCTAGATTATTTATTGATCTTAATGTAATAAATAAATTTAATTTGTATTTAATTTGTAATTATATTTAAATAATAAAAAACACAATTTTCTAAAACAGATGATAATTTAAAATACACATGTATTTGGTGACATTTCTGTTCCCTGATTAATTTGAATCGCACTGTTAAGCAATTTTATTTAAATGAAATGGCTATTTATTCTGCTACTTATCATGTAGGTACACAATTGAGCATAATTATATTTCATGCTTTTAATTGTCAACAAAAATACTCTTAAGCTACAAAGAACATCCAACATCAATATATCACTCAAAATTTTAAAGACTAAAATATTCTAAAAAAATGGAGTTAATAAAATCCTTAAATAAAACTAGGCCATTCTTAAAATTTTCAGTAACAAATTTTAATCAATAAGGATAACCTACCTTAAATTGACTTTGGTAAAAACTTAAACCAATAACATATTAAATTCAAACTGCTAATCACTAATATTTTATAAAAAAATATTTTTATTAAATTAGGTACCTATCTAATAAAGAAATTTAATACTAGCGTTAATAAGCAATTAGTTATGTTTTTCAACCAAGTCTGAATACTAATTGATACCAAATAATAATTGTATTGTTACAGTTTTCAATTCTAAGATGACAATATAGATTAATTTACCTATATATCGGAACACTTAAATATGTTAATAAAACAAATCTAGGAAATAAAATTGTTAAATAACAATAAAAATGTGTAGGTAACAAAGGTAATCTATCAGAATTAAAAGATTTCTAATAAACTAGATATATATGAAATCAATATATATTAATCCCAATTCGCGAACAGTTAAAATGTTCTAGAAAATTCTAGATGTCTAATAAGAGATAAGTCAACAACACATTGAGTGATAGGTTTGTTTTCATACAGATAATCACTACTACCAATCCACGTAATGTTGAAAAGGAAAAATTAGTTCATCAAACGAAATCTATAGCAGGGTTTCTCAAAATGTTGTAATACCACCCCTTAATTTAATTTAGAATTGTTGATTCCCTATGGTTTGAGGTATAGATATTTTTTTAATCAAAATCATTCAAATAACAACTAATTTTCGTTCTTAACTATATAATAAAATTAAATAATTATATAGATTAATAATTTACGAGCCTCCATAATATACAAACAACAGTTTAAGAAGCTCCGGGCTATAGGTAAAGACACGAAATAACTAATTGGAGAGAAGAAGAGAATACAAAAATTCAAGATTTTCAAGGCAAACGTACAAATCTTGACACTAGAAAAAAAAATTGACAACAAGCCAGCGCCTCAGAGTTGGATTTCAATGGCTTCGCGTTTGGATGCGATCCAATGATTGCGAAATGAAATAGTTCGATCGTCTACCGACGTAATAATAACAGCGAAGAAAATGACATAAAACATCAAATAATCAACATCGAATTGACAACGGTGACTCACCATTCGCCTGCGTGTATCAGGCATCCGCCGCCTTGGACGTGCGCAGTGTTCAATGACATCGCGGCGTGCTGGTGGCGTGATGGGTTCGCGGACCGGGCGCGCGAAAAATGGAAGAAGGAAGGAACCGGGTTACTGCAGCGGATTTATGAAAACAATGATTCGGTACGAACGGATTGCGTCACACGCGGCAACAAACGACAACCGGTGACGGTCGCCAGAAACCGAAATCGGAAGAACAAATGAACGGCCGACCGTGCGGAACGATGCAACAGTATCGGACGTGGTGCAGCGGACCGCGAGACCGAACGACGAAACGACAGCGGAATAATTGATATTGAACAGTACGCGCGCCGCGAGTGGAGCTGAACCGATTGACAACACGGAACGGAGGAAAACACAATATTAATAATAATAATAATAATAATAGCAGTAATAATAGTATTCTACGTATTATCACGAAGCAGTCGTACGACGCGGTGGTGGCGGTGGACAAGATACAAATTTCGCATGCTGCTGCTGCTTGCGGAGAGCTGAAACCAGCCTATCACCACGCTCGTGTCCGCCGACAACAGCTGATCGCCCCCGTGATTACACGGACTAGCGTTCGTGAATCTCAAGGACAGACTACGCGCGACAGTGCGACCGAATCCGGAATGACAAACACATCGTTTAGCCAATAGTTATCGTAACGATATGCGAAACACCTACTAGAATTTTGAAATTATCGATTCCGCCGAGATACGCGTTCCATTTGCCTACATTCTTAACCACTGAAACTGTGCGATCATCTAGCACTTCTAACTGAATACATATTTAGAGAAATGTTATAAATTGAATTCAATATTTATGGTCTGATAAAATTACTAATAAGTTCACGTTCATTGTTAATTTAATTGAAAATACATCTATATATTACATTAATATGACCTGTAATCAGGTCCGGATTAATACTAAGCCCCAAGTCCTTGCAGGGCCGTTGTCCAGTATTTAAATGTTTAAGAAATCTTCTCTTTGGGAGTGTAACAAGGGAGTGTAAGCTTGTAAAAACAATAATATTTATAACATAAAATCAAATCTAAACTTTTATTTGATAACTATTATAAATTTTTGTATGATAAAAGTTTTAACAAATGTTAAAAAAAATTAATTTTAATCCAAAACATATATAATATAAATTATCAAAAACCATAAAAAAATGTTATACCAATTCGTATACTACAAAAAAATTGTAGCCACACGTTTTCGTAGGCCCTAGGCACAGTGCCTAGAGTACCTGTACACTAATACGGCCCTGTCTGTAATTAATGCCGCAAAAACCGGGTGTGCAGAGTGTGCCGTGCAGGCTTATATAGATTTGACTAGTCCCAGCCTAAAATAAACTACATTTTACAAACACACAATTATTTAATAATATTATATAATTATTTTATGATAAGAAGAAACTTTTTTTAAAATTCAGGCAATAAAGATCATGCTCAAGTAGTTAATTGTCTAGTGGAGTCTTTATAATGCGAAATAGTTTAGTTTCATCAGCAAAAAGCAATACATTTGAATTTATAAATTTAAGATCAATAATATAAATATTAAAAAGTAGAGTCAAATGAGATCCCTGGGGAACGCCAGAAGTAACATATTTGGATATACAAGTTATAATTTTTAAATTTAACGTACTATTTTCTACCGAATATAAAGAATACTATCCAAAAAAATAAAGGATCGCGAATACGTGATTCGTTCAACTTTGAGGCAAGTATATTATGATCAATATAATCAAAAGCTTTAGCAAAACCTATGTAAAATACGTCCACATGACTATTTAAACCAAATGCATTTAAAATATATTGTTATATGGTAAAAACTTAGAACTAAGTAACATGTAAATTATTTTAATATTGATCTTTATGTCTATATGTAACTTAAATATTTCTTTTAACTAATATCTTAGTAATTTAATTACTGTCTATATTGTATACCTCTCACAACATCTATACTATATATTGTTATTTTATGTTTCCAAACTGACTATTATAGTTGGGTTCGCCCGTTTAATCATAATAAATAAATTAAATAAAGAAATATGTGGCGTAATTTAACAGTATTATGGAATAAATATAGAATATTTTAAATTCACCTAGTGTCGGCCATTTGTTTTCTATTAATATATATTTATTAATCTAAATGTATACCATATTAATTTTTCAACTGGGCCGTAGTCGCCCCGAAAATTGGACGCAGATAATTCGCGTTATATTCCAAAATAAACTTGAAGCCACAGGTGCTGCATGTGTCAATATCTTGGTAGGTAATCTTTACGATAACTCTATAAATGCCTAATGATCAGCTGTGGTTTCTTCCATTTGATTCATATTCTCGTACAAATATTTGCACACCAATAAAAGTCTTAAGCATAAGCGAGGGGGGTACCATGTATGCCTGACAGTGGCGATGAATGAAATTGAAATTGGTAGTTCAAATAATTAGATTTTTTAATATAACCCCTTCCAATTTACCATCTATTCAAATACCTAAACATTTTTTTTAAACATCTTAAATAATTAAAGATGTTATATAATATTTATGGTAATTATTAAATAAACTATTTTAAATAGAAAATACTTGTAATGTTAAGGTACCTAATATATAAAAAAATTATTTTAAATTTTTAACTATCATTTTTATTTTTTTTAACATTTCAATTTTCTAGGCAACTCAAACGAATTTACTTGTTCGACACCATTGATGTCTGATGACTTGAAAATTCTAAAAATAGATTTGCAAATTACTGCTAATTAATATTTTTGGTTGATACCAATTTCAAATTTCTAGGTCAGAACGGATAAGCTATATGAGGTTAGCCCAACTTTTAATATTTTGGTTTCACAGTGAAATTTTAAACTTGCAAGTTCTAAAAATTGACTTGCAAAATAATAGGACAGATTTTAAAAAAATTGCAATACTTAGGTGACCAATTTCAGGAATGTCAAAAACTTATTATTGAGACTAATATACTATAATAGTCAATAAAAAATCTAAGTTATGCTTATTTAATTATTTATACATTAAAATATATTAATTATACCTAGAAGTTTTGTTAAGATAGGACCCAAAATATTATAGACACTCCTTGAAATACAGCTCTGCGCATACTTATGTTTATAGATAGCATATGGACTTACTGTCACATTAAGTGATGGTTTAATGAAAATTCGCAGAGATGAAATTATTATAAAAATAATATAGTTTTAAAAGTGAATCCCATCTAACAATTCTTAGGGTAGAATAATATTATATTGTTTTATTATTATCAACGCTTCAACTACAATTAAAAAATGCTGTGATCAACCTATAATACATCACTTTTCGACAAATATGTAATTTAGATATGTCATTAAGGCGTATGTAGACTATATATATATATACCTATATATAGCGTTTATAGATATCTATATAAGAATCAAAATAACCAAACTTACAAGGAACTTTTTTCTAGCCGGAATCTGGGCATATTATTACACGCCTTCCCACTTTTTTTTTTTTATCTTGTACACTAACGAATTATGAAATATAGTTAAATATTCTAACTAGGTATATATATAATTTTTTTTATTAATTTGTGAATAATAAAAAAAAAAAATCATAAAAAATAACAATTTGTAAAATTACAATGTAAACCGTAGATACTGAAGGGGTTTGAAAATGAGAGCACATTTAGTGAAAAACAGTCAAACATTTCGTGCAAATAAGTGGGAATTGTAATCTGAAATTTGTAATTTTTCCTAGTTGCCTCGTTGACAGACGACTGTATACAACCGTTTATAGTCACGCGTTGTTTACATATTCAAGATAGTAAAACTTGACGGCCACATCGCTGATTTCCGTCGACGACCGCATTTCATCGATCGCGCCGTGCGTAACAACCTCGCCCCACTCGTGCGGAGAGTCAAGTCGCGTGCGCGCATGCCACCCCCGGCAATACACACACACCCACACACACTGAATAGAACTGTCTACGACCCTCTTAGAGTTTTTTACATTCACATGTGTGTCTGTGTCTCTATGTTTATGTGTGCGTGTGTGAAATTCAAGGCAGTACGCAAGTCCGTTGGGTACATACGTTTATGCTCGTTTCGCAGAAGGGTGAACCGTGCGCGAACCGCACGCGCGAACTTCATAACAATAATAATAATGTGTGCGCCGTTCCGTCATTGATAATAATTATAATAATAACAGACAGTGAACGTGAGTGTCTTGCGGATTATATAGACAATATATAAATAATAACATTGGGACAACTTTCGGTTTAAGAAATAATTATATTAAATATAATACTAATAATATAAGTGTGAAAAATGTGATAATCTGATAAATTCGTTGAGACTCCTACGATACGTATCCTCGTACTGTCCAGTGTATAATAAAGTGTGTACCATATATGCGGGTGGGCAATATTGCCTGACCTTGCGTTGAAATGGACGAGAACCTGAGCAGGGGTTATGTAGCCCTGGGCAAACGCAGCAACGTCTGTCCACTGTCTACGCCTCCGGTCGACTATTTGGGCAAGACTTATCTGGCTATGGTGCTGGCTGGTGCTGGTTTTCTGTTCCCATACAACAGGTACATACATAACATAGTTAACATTACTACTAACACCAATATAAATATCTACTTCGATAAAACTTGTAAGAAATTTTATTCCAAAATTCATTAATATGTATATCGAATGAACTTCTGAAGCAGCAATAAAAACCAAGAGAGGAGCAGAGACATTTTGGTTGTATTCTGAAATCAAATTTTTATTCAACAAAAAACATATAACAATAGGAAAGATTAATAAATTTAGAAATAATTTTATCCCAAAATTTACACCACTTATGAATTTCACTTTAAAAATCATATCCAAAAAAAATTAAAACTTAAAAAAAATAATGAACGGCATAGAGAATTGAAATTTTAAAATCAAAAATAAACAAGACATAAATAACACCAATAAAAACTACAAAAATAATACTAATAAAATATTAAAATAAAATAGTATTGTTAAACGACAAAATAAATTATTAATAACATGGTAAATTAATTTATAAAATTATTTAGAAATAATTCCAGTAAATAAATATAATACCATTATAATCTTTCACACTACTGTAATTGATAAAAAAACTTTAGATTTTATAAATAAAAATAATATTCAAAACTTAAAATCTAACCCAACTAAAATTTACACGAAACAAATTAATAAACTAATAACAAAATCGAAAGAAATCATACCTAAAGGCCAAAATAAAATAAAATTAAAAATAAAAATGGCTCCGTACTAATATAATATAAATTCAATGACAGTAGGAAGTTTATTTTCCAATAAAACAGAACTTTTAAACTATCAAATACCCACCCCTAGTCAATATTTTACATCCAGATACATAAATATCAAAATTAACGGGTTCAAATAAAATAATGATATTTTATGTCAAATGTACAAATTATATATTCAACTTTTCTGTTACACAAAAATACCTACCCATTCCATTTTAGTCATGAAGCAACTGCATCAATACAACCTGTATCGCGCCACCACTGCTTGCATCCATTCATACAATTGCATAAATAAGAAAAGCCGATTTAACTATTAATTAACTTTAAAACGGCTCCATTGTATAACCTTGATAAATATTTATAATAGCTCATAAAAAAATCAATTAAACATATACTGATACTTCTAAAAAAAAATACACTTATGATTGCATTGAAAAAATTAATACAATTAATATCGATCCAGAATACTAAATTATTTCTCTTGAAGTAAAAAAATTCTATACATCCACTTCTAAACATGTAAAAGTAAACATTTATAAAAAATTGTTTCCAATATTTTTTTAAATAATTGCAAAACACGGACAAAAAGTAAGAATGTACACCACATCAGTTTTTGATACAATTAATTTTAATTTGTCGGAATTAAAAAAAATAAAAATTCGATAAATAAAATGTTATGTTTCAGTAATTATAATAATAATATGAAGATAGTGATTTTTTTCAATCTAAAATTTTTAAAAAGATAAAATATTTCTCGTGTGATATCGGGTAATCCAGCTAATATTACAATACAAATTTATCAACAGTTAAAATTATATTCACTTTCGATTTTTTTTTTTTTTTTATTAAAAAGAAGTCACCAAGAAATTTTATATCACCTCTTATATTTTTTATAAAACAATACATTTTACTTTAACTTTATTTTACGAAACTAAATATTCTCTATGTAAAAATGTAAATAATTTTCAATTGTACTATTTTACTTGTTTTCAATATTATTCATATTCATTGTTTTTATACCGGACAAAACTAGTGTTAAATATTACACACAGAGCTAGTTTTAGCTCTTTCAGCACCCAGTGCAAGAATTATTTTGGCGCCCCTCCCTCTTAAACGACCAAAACATTCAATTTAAACAGACAGAATTTGGGAAGCTGGAGAAGTTCGTTCATAATCAAAAATGCTCAAAATAATTTTTCAAATTACCATACTTGTCACATATTTGTAAATCATACAGAGAAAATCAGCCACTACTTGCATATTGATATAATAATAAATAATTATAAAAATGACAAAATTAATTTTTATTAAATCATAATGAGAAAATTATTATTATTTCTACTTATAGTAGATAATTTGCGTTTCTAACGTTTCATCAAATTTATTTCTAATTTTTACGCCTCTCACGCGCTCTTCTAATTTTAGCGCCCGGTGTCGTCGCACACATCGATCGTATCTAAAGCCGGCCCTGATTACACATCACTAATATTCCAGATAAGAACTTTTAATCGGATTATAATATATATAACGATATATAATAAGTTATAAATATTATATAATTATACATATATAATCATCAAACCCATTTTTCGAAATAAAACAAAACACTTTATCTCAAATGGTTGCGCACCAGTTTAGTAATCGAACTAATTTCAATACAACAAATCATAACATGCCAAGACGGTCCCCCCTCAAAATAATCTGTGTTCAAAATATCCTCGTTAATTTTATCCTTTATTCAAAATAATTAGAATTATTTTGTTTATTTAGTCATCTAATTATATTAAAAATTATATTAAAAGCATTATATTAAAATAAAATGTATGTTATACCTTTCAATCTTCTCTCTTTTTTTTTTTTTTTTGACGGAAAAGTAACCAGTTATATATTTTTCAATTTTCATTTCTTGAAGACCTAAATAACGATAATAATAATTTAAAAATGTTACATATTTTAATATTTCTGATTTACCAATTAAATTTATCTTGGATGTAGCCCATTTAACTTCTATTTTACAAAAAGGAAAATTCCCGTCGAAAAAGATTTTATGAACAGTTAAATTCCCAAACGGCTCCGGTTTTTTACAACACAAATTCCTTCCCATTTCATTAAGACTTAGAACCGTCTCAAAATCGATTTGGTTAAAAATGTGTTAGTATTTTTTTAACATTATATTCTAATTAAATTATAAAAATTATTAAGAAAAATTTTACATTGGGCAAATTTTTGACGCACAATTTTTTTATATAATCCATAAGTGTTATTTCAATTGATGAAAATTTATCTATGATGTTTTCAATGAACTCATATTTTTATTCAATTTAGGGATTTTTACATGATTTCAAGCTTTAATTTAAGTCTCTGATTATATTTTGATTAGTATGTCAATAATCTTAAAACTATTTGGATGAACCATATTGAATTCACTGTTGAATTTACCGTGGAACGCGATTCAGTCATTTGTAGTTAAAGAATAGAAATATGAACACTCAGCCCATATTTCAGAATGAAAACGACTAACTGATATTATATTATTTTCAAAAATATAGTTGAGCATTTTGTCTATTTTATCGCATTTCGGTTTGATTGACATTAATTTGTCTATAAAACAACCCAAGTCGTCTGATGATGTTATGTAAGGAAGACCAAATAAACGTTTTAGTGCTGTTCCAATTTTAGAATCTTTGTTTCTAAATATTAATTCAAGTTCCACTGACTTAATCTTCCACCACCAACTTAGACACAAGTATAATGTTCATCCCTTTATGTTTACCAATTTCAAACGTTTGGAATTTACCTGTTCGTAAAACGTTTTTCGACTTGTTCTGGTTCTTTATTCAAAAATAAGGTAGGATTCCAGATAATTTCGGTACCGCTTTGCGTATTGACGTTCCCTATTCCAAACGATCCATAGGCTCAAATGGAACCTCCTGATTTACGACTTAACGATTGACCACGGTTTTTGATAAATAATAAAATATATAAATAGATTTAATAATCATTCGTTTTACTAAAATATATTATGATTAGATATTAAATAACATTTATTCATTTTATTATAATTTTTTATTGTAAAATAACTAAAATGTAACTATACTAAATAAAATCATTTTATTTTTGGAACCTTAAAGAAACTTAATAATTTAAAAATTACAGTTCAATTGCGGTAACCAATATATCAATATAAAGATTTCAGTTCCTACTATTTAAATGATTCTGGTTCCATAACTGGTTCTTTTCGGTTCGGTTCCTGTACTTGGTTTTAATTGAAGGAATAATATGATTTTTATGACTGACAAGAGCTAGTAGAATCTGTAATATAATATAATGTCTCGATCAAGAATGGAATTTCATATTTTAAAAATTTAATATTTTGATGTATACATAAATAAAATGAAAATTATATGAAAAAAATTTAAGAAGTAATTCGAATGTGCAATTAATTACTTATAATAACAATAGAGTATAATTATTATTAAAATTATTTAGTCAATGATAATATGTACCTATTTTTTTAATAGAGATTTACGGCCACTTTCCATGACAATGATAATGTAATTCATGTGTGACATGGTTAACTTTACTCAATAGTTTTAAGAAGAATGAGTACTTTTCCCAAGACCGACGCGACCCCTATTAATTATCGTATGCAGTATTCTACAAAAATATTTTTCTGGTCTTGAAAATCAAAATTAACTTAATTGGGATAGAAGAAAAAAAAATACTATAATTTCAAGTTTATCTGTAAAGAAATGAGTTAAGTTAAGTTAATTTAATTTATCAGTAATGAAATTTATTTATTCGTATGGCAGGTTAAGAATAAAATATGATTTACTTAACTTCCTACTAATACGATATAATTTAAAATATAAATTATGAATTGAAAAATTTTAAATTTTGTATATACATGGCATTCATTTTTCAAGTAACTCCGATGGGTCAACTGTCCAAGAGTCCAAATCAAGATCTAAAAAGAGAAAAAAATTTCCAAGAGGTCAATTTTGTCAACAAATGTTAACTGTGGGTCAGCTGACCCCCTGAACTCCCCCCTAGATCTGTCCCTGTCCCAATACAAGAGTGATTTCATTAAAATATATCAAATTAATTTCTTTAATACTTGGATTATTCTAATAAATGAGCAAACTCGTTCAACAATTTAAGATTTAAATAATTGTCTAGAAGATATATTTTTTATGTATTTGCTTCTTAAACAATAATCAAAGTACTTTTGTAGGATAAGTCACTTTTTGTTTCAGTTTTAATATTTAAGTACTTAAGTACTTAAATTTTATAAAACTACAAAATCCTAACTCCAGGAATAACATGACTTTAAAATTGTTCTGTTTATCGAAATGATAAATTTATATTTATTTTTTTTATTTTACAGTTTTGTCATGGCTGTAGATTATTTTCAGAATAAATACCCCGGGACAATGGTAGTATTTGACATGACAATGGTGTATATCATGGTTTCTTTTGTTGCCGTGCTGACCAACAACCTATGCGTTGAAATGTGGTCTTTTACGTGTCGCATCAATATCGGTAAGTCCTTACAACTATCAAAAATATTTTCAATGCCCAAAAAATACGTGCAATTAAATTGCGCATAATGTAAGTTAGGTATACTAAATAGCTGCTAATAGCTATTAATTTTATAGTAACTGTAATAAATGTAATTTTCAGAGACTTTCACAACGACCTCACACAATCCTATCCCGTTTCTTTATTTTGATTTACTCAAAATTCAATATAAGATACTTGAAATAATTTTAAACACCACTTTTTCATTATTTTATGTACACAGACCAAATATTATAGCTATAATATATTATAAACATAAACATTTTTAGTCGACTTTAGTCAAGTGATTGATTTTTAAATTATATCCAGTTTTTTTTTTTTTTTTTTTTGAACCATGATTTCCTATTCAGTGATATTTATTAAGCAATTCAATTAATAGTAATACATTATTTTGAAAATTTTCAGTAAGTTATAGTGTCTAAAAATTTTTCGATTTAATATATAATACGTTGATATCAAGTATTAATATCAATTTGTATATTGATAAACAAAGGAAAAATATTTACTTTAGCAACTAGCAATATAAATTATCAAAATTCTTAAAATTTCTGATTCATAGTTTTTAATTCTTGATCATGAAATATAACGGCAATTATTTCCATAATTCAAATATTATAAATATTATCAAATATTTTTCGTAAATATGCGTGATACAGTATTGCTCCTGACACATATTACTAAAAAACGAATGCATATGCATATTATTAAAACAGATTTAAAACTAATTTAATTTCGATATCAAAGATGGTAAAATATAGATGTAAAATTATGATTCTAAACACGTTTCTGATCAGTTTTCCGTTCGTTATGTTCACAGGTTATGGATTGACAATTTCGATGTTATTGTTCGTGGGCGCCGTGGAAATTTTGTGGGAAGAACTATTTACGCTGCGCATGTCCTATTGCCTCAACTTAACGGCACTTGCAGTGATTGCATGGGGCGCGACAAGTAAAAATTGAATTTGTCAAGAGAAAAAAAATTTCTTTATAATTTTTCAAATTTTTTCCTTTTTTTTTTTTTTCAACAGTCCAACAATCCAGTTTTTATGGTTATACCAGTATATTGCCAACAAAATACACACAGGCCGTCATGATTGGAGAAAGTTAGTAGCCCTTTGTCACTGTTTTATTTCGTAAAAAGAGAAAATGTTAAATAAAAAAACAATTTAACCATATAATATTAATTATATTAATAACGATAATTATATTATAGCCGTAGCTCGAGTTGGCAAAATTTAAGTATAAGAATTATGTTTGTTATTTAAAAAAAGTAGTGTTTCAATTGTATACGTTAATAAACAGTGAGGACTATGATCCTTATATCTCCCAAATAAACATTTTTATTAATTATATAGAAAATTATTAAAATATTGACAGTAGTAATTAACTTATTGTATATATTATGTATATTATAATAAATTACAAATACTCTCAATATTACAAACTCAAAAAGAAATAAATAAAAAACACCCATTGTCTATTTATTTAAGTAATTACGTTAATCTTAATATGTGATAAACAAATATATATATATATCGGTTTATCTTCCAACTTTAAATAATTTTTGTGTGACAAGTTTCTTGGCTATTTCTTTTACCATTAATTATCCAAGATTATACATAGTTTTTTGGAATACAGTTTTAAATGGGTGTTCCGATATCGTATTAATAATAATGATAATATATGCTTAAGTATCATGCATTTCTTTTCCAAGCAACCATGTTAATTATAGCACTAAAAGACTCTTTCGCGTTCAAAATATAACATTTTTATTAGGGATGGGCAAAATTGTTTGAACATCGATATTCGATGTATCGATACATCGATTTTTAAAATATCATTGTGTTCGATGTATTGGTGAAAACCATTGATGTTTAAGAACATCGAAAAATTTTTTTTTTCCTTTAGAGCTGCCATCTGTTGCACACCTTATATCTGTACAATCAACTATTTTGATGATTAAATAATAAATTTTAAGAGTTAAATTACTATTGTTTAACTTATATTTTTTAAAAATATATTAAATACTTATAATCAGATCTCGTAATTTCATGTATTTGCATGTTTTCTTTGCTACATCGAAAAATATACTAATTGAGATAAAAATCCGTTTCAAAACAATGGTAATAAAAATCTTAAGTTTAATAGAGCAAGTTTTTTATAGTTGATTTTTTTTGAGTTATTAGCGCATATTATTTTGTGTAAATTCAACGAAATCGTTTTTTGTGGAAGTCAAAAAAAAAAAAAAATTAGATCAATAAATGTTTGAATTCATTTTTATTTACTTTTCCGAGTTTGTTTATAAAATTCTTATTATTTTAAAAAATCCTTAAATGTTTTTTTTCGTGCATTTTTTAATGCATATTTGATCAAATGTTAGTGCATTTATTTATTGCATGTTTATTTATGCGTTTTTTTAGTGCATGAATTTACGAACCCTGATTATAACTGTATAATGTACACTGTATAACAATTTTTGTATACTGCATACTAAAATAATACAAACAAAAAAAATTCGAACTTATCGAACATAAACATTGATATTTAATCGATTAATCGATCCAAAACTTCGTGTTTTTTGCCATCTCTGATTTCTATAGAATTAATTGCAATTAATAATGATGAAAGATAATTTAATCAACTGGTTAAAGTTTTTTTGAGTCTTTAAATTTACGAAACCCTTGAACTATAGATGTTTTATTCACTTGAAATGTTGTAGCTAATATCAGTACATTTTTTTTCTATTATTTATATCTTATTTGTCCGATGAATATTTTACATTTAATATATCAATAAGTCTTGAAGAAACTCATTATATTTTTAGTTGAATATTTTATTTATTGTTGTTGATTGAAATACCTGAAAAGTAAAAATCTTAAAATACTTTAGAGTTTATACTATATTCATAAATCAGTGAAATAAAATTTATAAAATTATAATAATGATTATGACCACTATTTATTGAGATTAGTTGACTATCAATCATGATTTTCTACATCATATTTTAATTTATCAATTTTTATTATACATTTTTAAATTATAAAAAATATAATAAAGTAATCAATATAATTAGTTATGATCACAGGGCTCGGAAGTTGTAGCATTAAAATGGTTACTTTTTAACTCTTAAGTATACACTTAAAAACTCTAAAATATGCGTTATAAATAGCACAAAAAATAAAAATAAATATGCATTTAACTTGAAAAAAAATGTAGTTTTACAAATTGCTGGGCTCATTAGATACAGTCTGGACTGATTGAATTATAAACTGTTAAAAAAAATGTTAAATTATTTAAATATATTTGTAAAAATGTACTTATTATTAAATTATTTTATATATTTACCTTGGAAATTATTCTAGATTATTAAAATGTTTGATAATCTAATGCAATGATATAATAAGGGAATAACAATGACGTCACTAACAATTAATACATCAAATTGTTGATGAAATCGTAAAATATTATTTGATGAGGTCTATGTATTTCCAATAACTAAAATATTTTTTAAAAACATAATCAAGTAAATACAATTATTATCAACAAAATGTGATTATTTCCTACATTATCTAAAAATATACCAGAAAATAGCCTATAAACCCTAAATTAGCAAAATAGCAATAAAACCCGTAAATATACAAAAAATAGCAAAATTAAATTTTGTGTATGATATCCGAGTAGCGATAAACATATTTGTATCTTACTTTGGATGTTCTAAGATGAACCAAGAAAAATATGCATTTGCTAGAACTTCCGAGCCCTGGTTATGAAACATACATTTTGATAAAAATTTAAAAATGTACCATCTCATTTCGTTCTACAAAAACAAAAATAGTAAAGGTATGCCAAAATTTCGAAAAAATTAGTTGAGTACTTCATCCCCCCTAAGTTAAAGACTAATTATAGCAATATTTTTCTGTGATTTCTATTTAATATATTGTAAAGTGTATAATGTAATACGATAATGATTAATTTAAAGGTGCTGCTGGTCTATGGGTTTCCATCAATCGAATAACGACGAAAATGTTGACCGAGGACTTAAGGGTAAGCACGTTCAGTTTCTTCGTAATCAGCCATCTGGTGGTGATGACATCATGCATTCTATTCCAAATCGTGCAGTCGTCCGATTTTGTCAAATTTTACATTGCCCGAAGTGAAGAGTCGAAGAAAAAAATCTCGCTGGAACCTACGGAAGAATACGTGAGAATTTAGAAAGTTCTTAAATCTTTATATTATTATTTCGAACAATTAGTATGTAATTAGTGGCGTATTTTCAGTTTTTCCTAGAGTAGGGCAGTCGGTATGATCTTATTAAATTGCTGACTCGACGGCTCACTTTACCAAAGTGTTGATAAACGCGAGGGGAAGAAGACGTCTTTATTAGTTAATCGCTTAATGTATTATTGAAATAGTATGTTAACTGTTTGTAAGAGATAGAATCATCTACACCCATAGCATATGCTGTGGACTTATCAACTAATTTTATAGGAGAGCTAAGACTTTTTTTGTACCAAATGATTTTTAAAAACGTATTTTTTTATAAAACAGCGTTTCTCGACCTTTTTTTCATCACGACCCCTAAGATAGGTAAAAAATGAAATCATTCAACTCATGACCCTCCCTCCATTATAATAATAGATAATTTAAACTAGTATCTATTTTACCTGTTACAAAATATATTGAATCATTCACCATTAACAAAACAAATAACTAATATGCAAGTAAACATTGGTTCCATTCGCCACTTCTTATCTAAGCAAAAGACGCTTTTCTTTCTATGGTGGCATTAAAAACTGAATATAAAAATAATTTGTTATCATTAAAAAATAATTTACTTCTATGTATTTCCAATGTTGATCCATGACTAAATAAACTTTTGAGTATAAAACAATCAACAATAAACTTATTCATTTTTATCATTATAGTTATGTATTTATTTTCTATTTTTTATGTAAGTAAATGGTTTATTTTTTACATCAGTGGTTAATTATTTCTGACCAATACGACCTCTCTTCTAAGAGTTCATGACTTCCCAGTTGAGAAAAGCTGATATTATTATTATACTATAATGAATGCGATAAACATGTCAAGAAAAATAATTTGTTTACTCTATATCTTATTTAAAAATCGTAAATTAATAATACGTGAATTAATTTATGATATTGTGGCATTAATTTTATGATAAGACATTTCAATGACATTGAGACATTTTGAAGTATATACGAAGTATTAAATGTTTATTGGAATACGAATCAACTATATTGTATTTTGTACTAAGAAAATCTTTATGAACACATATATTCGAATTTACAATTCGCCAAGATCCCAGAAATTTATAATAAATTTTTTTTTTATGTTCATGATATAAGATCAACTATTATTAGATTTATATTACTCTGTGATAAAAAATAAATGTATGTAAGCCCGGCAATGTATTTTATGCATTTTAGTGTTATAAATGATAATAAAAATGAATACATAATTTATTAAAAGAGAATAATTATTATTTTAATTTGTACAATATAATTTACATTATCATTTTTTGAAGAGGTATAATACGAAAGAAAAATACTATAGGATTAAAATTCAATTTTATTATTAAGTCAAAAACTATTTTAAAAGAAAGCTTATACTGATATTATAATAAAAAACTATATATATATCACATCGACATTTTAATTAATTGCCTTCAAGTAAATAAAGGATTTCGGTAATTCAACCTCACCTTTGATTAAAAGTATTGTTTGATAGCGTGGCTTAATCGTTAATTATTAAAAAATATAAATGTTATTACTAATTGATAATCAGATAATTGTTAACAATTAAAATAATTATAAGATTTTATTTTTTTATTTTTTTATTAGCTTCTTGTATACAATTATAGCTCAACAATTATAGATAATAACAATTAAAGATAATAAAAATTACAGGTAATAACAGTTGTACAATACAATTTACATAATATAGTAATGTTTACAAAGAAAGATAAAAAAACAGAAGAGCAAAAATTAGATGTTAAAGCCAACCTCCAATATAAATGCTATGATTTGAGTTATAGCTATTTTTGAATTAGAGTTCAGGATAGAGGTCAGGGGTAATATTAAAAGCTTATAGGAAGTTAAATAAAATGGTGCGTTTTAAATGCAAGGAAGGACATTCGAACAGAATGTGATAAATATCACATAGACTTTCTGTTAAATGTAGGGTGTAGAAAGGAGCGTCATTTAAATCTAATTTGTATGCATAGGCAGGTAAAAATGTATAACCTGAACGTAGACGATTAAATTGTACGATGAATTTTCTCGATAGATGGAGGTTGTTGAATCAGTTGTTATAAAGGATTGAAGGAACAATATATTTATATGGCGAATACTGCTGGTAGATTTGACCACTGGTAGGCCCAGAGGTTCTTTATGTGGTAAGGTATAAATGGAGTGAAATCGGAATGAGGAATTTGGATTAGAGGACAAATTATAATTAATCTAACTAATAAGTTAGACGTATATTTGACAAGACTATCAGCGATCTCATTACCATTAAATCCCTATGTGGCTTGGGATCCACAGAAATTGGATGGAGTACTTTGACTGGTATAATAAAAGGGTAATATGTTTAATAAGAAGCACAAGTGGGGGAAGATGGGATTTAAAGGGATTGGATTTGAGTGCAAGTAGGCAAGACATGAAGTCAGAGGCTATTAAGTAATTGTTAGGAGCAAGGTTAGAGATATGTGTTAGCGCTTCTATGATGGCGTAGCACTCAACAGTGAAGGAAGAAGACGAAGGAAGTAAATTTTTTGTGAAAGACATGTATAGCTCAGGGATATAAAATGCATAACCTGTAGAGAAGGGAGATACTGATCTGTCGGTATAAGAATACTGAGAATATTTTGTTGTCATAGAGTGAGACATGATTTGTAGTTCCTTAGAAGATAGGGAAGAGAAATTGTTTTCTGTTTGGACAGATGAAGAGTATAATAAAGATTCGTAAGATTGTTCATAAAGCGGGAGCTTGGTTGATCTCATAATAAATTGGTGAAAGTTTGAGAGAGAGAGTTCGCTGAAATTGCAAGAATGGAAATTGATTTGGAAACGTATTGCCAAGTGAGGAATAACAAATAATACATGTTAAAAATAAGATGGTTTGAGTGAGCGAGTTGCTTCAGAATAAATTTGTTGGTTAACCATCGGCATCTGATGTTGAAGGGAGCACAGTTTGATTCTACTCCGATGACCGGGCAAGGAGTAGATCTTAGGTAACCCATAATGTTTATGAGGCAAGAAATTTACAGTTTATTTATTTTTTTCCAATTTGAGAATGATGCTGAGCTGAAAAAAAACAACCGTAATCGAGTTTGGAGCGTATGAGGGTACGGTAAACCATTAGTAAGCTAGATGGGTGGGAACCTCACCAGGTATTAGTTACTGTCCTGAGTAAGTTGGACCATCGGGAAACGGTGGCTGTGAGTGATATTATATGTGAAACCCGACGAAGTTTGGCATTTAAGGTGATACCTAGATAAGTGATTTTGGGAACATAAGGGATGATGTTGTTGTCAAAATAAGTGTTTGGAGCATCAAAATATCTTCGTCAGGTGAAAATGACGGATTTGCATTTCTCTGGGGCGACTAAAAATGAGACTTTATCTAGTATGAGTTTAAGATCTTTAAGGTCTAGGTTTTAGAGAGCAATAATAAGATAAAGGGACTTATTGGTCATAAATATTACCATATCATAAGCATAATGAGGCATTTATGACTCTTCATAGCTAGATGTTTTTCTATTATACTCATATAAACATTGAAGATTATTGGACTAATACAACTAACCTGCGGTAGTCCTATGAATTTGGTACGAGTATTATAAGACCCAAAATGAGAGGAGAAAATGCAGTTTCTTTTATTGAACAAAGAGATCAATATGTTGCAAAATTTTTGAGGTACATGTAATGAAATAAGGTGTGAGATAAAAGTGCAAATATTGACTGAATCGAAAGCACCACGTATGTCTACGAAGGTGGCTACAAAAAACTCTCTATTGTTAAAGGAATGGTATATATTTTTTATGAATGACGAGAGATATTCTATCGTACCCCTTCCTTTCCTTTTTGGAATTTTGTTTAGCAATGGGTATGACTCTATATGCACACCATGTAGGCGGAATTTGTTGGGTTGTAAAAATGTTGTTCATTAAAGCAAGGAGAGAATCTAAGGCAATAGCAGAGAGGTGTTTTAATATGACCGGCGAGATATTGCCGAGACCGGGTGCGGTGGATTTCCTTGAGGTAATAGCGTAAGTTAGTTCAGACATACTGAAATTAATTTTTAGAACATAGGTGAAAAGACATTGTGGTTGTAACACGGAGCAATTTCAGAATCAAAAGGAATATAACATAGAGCAATTTTAGAACAAAAATCATCAATCATCGTTGTCGGGGCGTGTTGAAGGAGTTATGCAATTTTTAAATTTCCTAACAACAGACCAAAGGTATTGTATGGTATTAGACGGTTTGAGATTTGAGCAAAAAAATTTCCATTTATTTCTCTTTTCATTTTTAAGAGTTCTGGTTGTAAGGGTGCATGCATTCTTATATGAGAGAAAATCTGTAATGGAGCCAGTACGTCGGAAAATTCTAAAAAGTAAGAATTTATCATTGACTACTTCCGTGCAGGTGGAGTTCCACCACGGTGGGGAGGGTGGAAATATTTTTGTATTTGGTCTTTTGAGGAGAATCGTTGCTTTGGCTGATTTGTATAAAATTTTGGTGAAAGAGGAATAGGACCTTGCTGAAGATATATTGTTTGGTAAGATAAAAACTGAATTTTGTATTTGGTGAAAAAAAGCTACCCAGTCAGTTTTATTGAAATTATAATGAATCAGTTTATGTTGGGGAAATTTGAGCGAGAAGTAGAGGAAATAGAGTTAGTAGTCAGACATAAGTTAGTTTTCATAATGATCGGGATGTGATTACTGCCATGAGGTTCGCTAAGTGTTTGCCAGGATAAGTTTAAAAAATCAGTAATAAGTTTTAAAGTCTGATATGGGTCGGACTACCGTCGTTTAATATACCGAGGCCTAGGGAATCGATTATATTATATATATATGATTGCCACGACGCAAATATGAGTTTGAGCCCCATGCCGAGTGAAATGCATTGAAATCGCCACACATAAGGGAATTGTACATAACTAAATTAAAAAGAGACTACCAAAGGAGGAAAGGGATATTTATATTGTTAGGAATATAACAAGACCAGATTTTTACTGGGGTAGGAACATGTGTTATTACAACCTCAACTCTGATGAGATCTATTTTGTGGCTGATGAGTCTGTTTCTGGTAAAGTCATTAATAGGAATAAGCTTAGTTTTAAAAGAGTTATGTATGGCTATGCCGCCATAACCCTCTGGGTGATCAGTTCTGAAGATTTTAAAATTTGATATGTTCAAAAGGCGTGAAGGAAGTAGCTAGGTTTCAGAGATAATAACTATGGAACATTTGTGGACTGAAATTAGGTTCTGTAGAGAAGGAAGGCAGGCTGTGAGGCTCCTAACGTTATATTCAAGGATATTATAATTGATAGCAAAATGTTTTTTGTTGGAGTTGTGGTACATATTGACTATAATGTGTTGTGGTGTCTTAGATGTTGTAATAATTAGTATTAATCTAATCAATTGAGACAGATTTAGAAATAGCAAGGATGAAAGTTAAAGAAGAATCAATTAGGCAAGGTAAGAAGGCGAAAAAGTAGAGGAAAGCGAAGGAGCATTTATAAGGGATTCGGATAATTTGTATGACAAACTGTTTATCCAGAAAAAATCATCAACGTTATTTCCTGTTAACTTTGTTTGGCAAGTATAATTGTTTAAGGAACTCCCGTTAGGAGAAGTGTAGGAAGATTCCGCTGGTAAGGTAATTTTCTTTTTTTTATTCACTTGGATTAGATTTTAATTGTATTTTTTTTTTATTATTGAAGTAATAGTGGCTATTGTTTAGGGTAGAGAAGTGCTCATTGTGATGAAGGGTGTCAAAATCCATAATTTCGGAGATAAGAGGCTATTTGTAATGTCGAAGTATTTGAATGCAGAAGTATAGTGCTTATTTTTTTTAAACGCAACCGCGTCTTTGTACGATATGTTTTTGGGACCCATGATTTTTTAATATCCTTTTGATGGGACCACTCTCGGTAGGAACGATTCGTGGAAAGATGAGGGAGTTTGCAGTAAAGACAAATAGGGTCGATGACTTGCACGGAAGGGCACGAGTCTAATAATTATTTAGATTCGCCGCAGTGGCTGCATCTCACGTCGCTACGACAGTATTTTTGGGTATGTCCTAATCTTAAGTAGCATTTGCATTGGACCGGGGAGCGGATGCTTGGCATTACTTCAAATAACATATTGTAGATCAAAATGACGGCAGGTATTTCGGGAGATATGAACTTCAACTCAACTGTGCGAGTCTGTATGACTTTCCCATATTTTTGAATGGAAATGCGTTTAATTGAAACAGAGAAACACTGACTCTCGGAAATTCTTTTTCAAAAATGCGATTGTTTAATTTAATTATACCGTACGAAAATATAAAATTGCGAGGAATATACGCGAGAAAAACCGTTCGCGTGAAAAATGTCGGAATTTAAACAAATATTGGCATTGATAATAGTGTTGAAGGTAATTTTGATCTTTTTGGGGCCAGCAGGTTTGATGTTGGTAATGCCTGCAAATTTGGTAGAGAAAAATTTTATAACGCTAATGGGATGCCAATTACCCATATTTTTATTTTGGTCGAGGCTCTCGGCTAGAATTATTATCGGGCCGTTATAATCTGTTTGAAGGAACGAAGTAGAATATTATTATTAATGCTAGCAGACATATCGATATTTGAGTTGGACGGTAGAGACGACGAAGTGCTATCTGTAGATAAGCTAACGACGGGTGTGAGTTCATTAGGTTGATTATTGATGCGTGAGCTGTTTGAATCGGGCAAATTATAAGTTTCATTGAAGTTGAATGTGGAATAGGATCTATTTAAAATCGGTGGGTTTTCATTTATTTGTTGAAAATTAGGTGCAACTGGACAAATGGTATTTTTAAGTACCTTACCGTTTCCACCGACAATGCTGAAACCAGGTGATAGTGCCGTATTTTTGGTAAGCGAGGGTTTGATTTTGGTTGTGACCGGTGTTTTGCGGCTATTGCCTCCCGAAGACGACGACAATAAGAACAATAATTAGATGTATAGATTATTAAAACCGGATTACTATCAGTGAAACGCACAGAGACACGACCGTAAGCAACGACTGCGTGAACACGAATGTAGATTTGATTTATAATTTACTACCTATACAATATACTTTTATGTATACCTACCATACATTGATGGTTACATTCCTTTGTTTCATAGATCGATTCCGAACAATCACAACCAGAACCATTGGCTGAGACCAGTCTAAGCACTGGAAAAATATTTAAAGACGAAAATCTATTCAGCTTTGCAAATCCCATGTACGACCCGAATGCCAATAGTATGCCCACGTTTAAAGTAGAAGACGTCATGGTACACGTAGATACTGGAAACTCTTTTAAGCTTCGAAAATCTAACTTATCCGGACTGTGGGATGCATTTAAGAGTAAGTAAAATTAACATTATATTAGATTTATATTATTATAGATATTCTGTCTATTGCAAATAAAATATTACTCAATAATATTATTATAATTATGAAAGCTCGTGAATTTTGCATCTTTACTATTACATAATATACTATCATAGTATTACTAAAATTTCATAATGTCACCTACCTCTAAAGTTTCGATACTTTATTTAAGTTATTGAATTTGCATGTAAGTAGTTGATAAACAAAAGAGTTTTCATCAATTTTTTATCGTTTTGTCTATATTTTTAACACAGGTGGATACAATTTGAGAAAGGAAGTATCAAAAATCATATGGAAACAAATGTTGGCAATTTTCTTATGTTACTTCGTAACGCTGAGCATATACCCAGGAGTACTTACCGATCTGGTCAGCCCTAGATTTGGCACGTGGATGCCAGTGCTCGTGATGACCGTTTTCAACTTATTCGATCTCATAGGAAAGGTAATGCGCACGTTCAGTATTATTGAAAATTTAAGCCTGGAAGATAAGCGGTTGGAAGAGAATATTGATATATTTACGTGTCAAGCTTTACATGAAAGTTGTACATGATAATATTCAAATTGATAAAATTAATACAAATATCATATAAAATTCGTTCTATTGTGTTAAAATATAATTTTTTAGATACAATTCCAATCTAGATTGGTATTGTTTTGAAAATTTTCACTCTACGCATTGATATTTTCCTGTATAAAGAAAATCCATAACATGGTAAAAAATGTAGATATATCTATACTACAAAAATAATTAACATTTATATATATGATATTTTTTGTATATTAAATTTTCACAAGTATAAAATATCTGAATATGATATTCGCTTGAATTATCGATGAATGCTCTAATTGTTAAAATATTGAAACATTGCTAAGACATAATTAGTGGTATAATCATAAGCTTTGGTCCCTCATCATTCAAAAATCTGTTGTAAATATTTTTGTAATTTTAACACAGTTTATAAACTATAAATCAATGTACATATTATCGATAATAAATATAAATTGTTAAAAACCAATTATAGGTCCTACTTGGAACTTTCGAAATGCTGCAGGTTGTATGTGCCATATCATTGATAAATATATATTACGTATTAATCAATGAAGCTATATTTTATGTGAATAGAAATTTGTAAAGTTAAGTAAAAAAACACTGAGCATTTTTAATTCAATAAAAATTATTGTACGTACTGGACTTGAATATAATTTATGCATTCAAAAGACTTTAAAATCCCCTCAAATTAACTCAACGTTTCGTAATGTCTACATTACGAATAATGATAATATATTATTGTAAAAAACTGAATTCATATTAATTAAACGCATTTTCAAAAGTACTCCATACTATTTGAATAACCTAGACTCAAATATATGATAATATTCGTCTCCGTGTATATTTCTACTCACAGTTATTTGCTGCGTATTTGTACGAACGATGGGACGACAAGATATTAAAGAGTACCAAGAAACGTCTACTAATGATTCCCGCCATCCTGCTGGTTGTATTCGTCCAACATCCGTTCCATACAAAAATCTTAAGCGAGGTCTTAATTTTTGCGCAGACAGCCATACTCGGCGTGTCCAATGGCATCACAGGCAGCGTGCCAATGATCTTCGCACCCGCTAAAGTTGTCGAAGAAAGACGTGAACTTGCCGGTAATTATACACTCATATTCAATAACGTATAATATTGCATTAGATTATATTTGTAATTTCATGAATTAGACGAAAGTATTAGTTAATTCAAATATATTATTAATTTTATCGGTTACAATTCAAGTTGATTAGATTCTAGAGATGGTGTATATTTTTGTCGATTTAAACAAACCTGACAAAATTACGATAAGAATCAAAAGCGAAAGAAGTTTCTAGTTAAAATCTACACAACGATATTATTTGAAAGTTATGCCACTAGTTATTATAATTATTTACCGTTTTTAGTATAAAACTAATATTTTTCTCACACTTGTCATAAAAGTATGATGTTGTGACAACTGTTTTGATGAAAAATTTTACAGATCAAATTAATATATTATAATTTAAATAATGTATAGTTAAAAATGTACCTAGTTTTATGATTTAAATTTATACCTAGGTATTTATGGGTTAGAAATCTACATAATACTTTCTATGGATGTATGTAACTCTATTTTGTTATCTTGTAATATTCAAATTTAATTTAATGGTCATCAGTGATAACTCATTACTTTGTCTTCGATTTACACGCGGTTAAATGCAAATAAATATATAATATATATAAATAATACAATATTTAAAAATTAATTTTATTGGACAAAACACAACAACATTTCAAATGTCTTATCACCTAAACGGTTCCTTCTTGGTGTTAATATTTGACTTCTACTGCTAAACAAGCGCTTGACAGGTGCAGATGAAAGAAGTTATATTTATGAAACTCAAGTTTGATTAAATATATCATAATTTTAATACTATTCCATATAAATCGGTATATTTATTTTATTTACCAAAAACTCATAAATGATTACTGTTACCCTGTTGCTATTCTCAATATTCACTAACACGATTTAAGATCTATATACACTAATACTATATAGCCGTGGCCACTATTCAGTGATTACTGGTTGGCTTTTATTATTATTAATTACTTTAATCTAAGTTTATACATTGTTATTTATAGAACGTTCCAGCCAAAGATTGAAGTTATATGTCCATGTGTTAACACAATTATTGTCTATATTATTATTATAAGAGTATAATATTAGCTATTAGGTATACGTATATTAAATTCCGGGCGTACTTAAGCATTGGGCAGTGAGTATCGCCCAGTCGTCCATTATACAGGAAAAAAAGTTAATCGTTATAAAATTTAATGGTATTATTTGAAATATGTAGTAGTTTTTCGTTTATAGAATATGTATATTTAAAATTTAAAACGCATATACGGTAATACTAAGTATTTATTATTCTTCGTTTCATTTCCCACAAAAAAAAATTATCTTTTTAATTATTAATTAAATTATTAATTTTTAATTATCTAGATAATTTATCTTAGATAACCATTTTATTTAAAAAAACATGGATAAAAAGATACTTCAAATTATTATTATCTAGATAAGATAAAAAGATTAATGTTTTTATCTAGATAAATCATCTAGATAATGCACAACAGTGGTTAAAGTGAGAAAAATGTTGTGGGGGGGACTGTATGCATCAAAAATTGAGGAGCGTTCCCCTTTTTTTCTTGTGTGTAAACCGCTCAACAGGGAAGAAAGTAGGTTTCCCCATTACTGCCTCCCTGACAGCATCATTTATTAAATGAAAAACAATACATACAACAATACATATTAAATACTTAGAATACAATAAATTACGACTAATTACAACAAATTGGGGCCTCTAACCACTCTGAGTTGGCCAGCCGTCTATGGACCACGCTCATTAAAAGGCTGCGTTTCAATTGAGACGGGCCTCCGACGTTGGCATGAGCCTTGCCAAAGCGGCCACTGCCTTTTTCTCCCTTGCTGACACTGCGCTGACGTACTCGACAAACGACAACCAGATATCCAGTCGAACTCCCAGGTATTTCAACGAGCGTCTAACCGGAACCTGACACTCATGGATGAAAATCCTTGGCTCGCGAAACGAGTTTTTGTTAGTCAGGACCACACACTCCGACTTCTCGAGCCATGTGACTGGCATGCAGAGGTCGTCGTCCACCAACAGGCTCCTCACATACATGTAAGACCAGAGGACTTTTATCATGTATTCAGGAACAGCAGCTCTCCGCAAAGCCTCGTCAATCAGGGTCCACGGCGCCGAATTGAACGCGTTCTTGACATTCAGAGAGATGAGTACACACAGGTTCCTGTCCTGTACCGGGCCACGTTTGGTGCTGTAGGCCATTCTCAGGACGTCCTCAATTGCGTCGGTGGTAGACATCGCCCGTCTGAACTCGTACTAGGTATCGCTAACTGCTCCGGTGCTTACGATATGCGACTCTAGCCTGTTGAGCAACACCCTCTCGAAGACCTTGCCGGCCTCATCTAGCAAGCTAATTGGCCGGTAGCTAGAGGGAATTTCCGGTGGTTTGCCTTGCCCTTTGTGTAGCAAAACCAACCTCGCGTGCTTCCACCTCGACGGAAAGTCCCCGTTAACGAGGCACGCATTGTAGCACTCTACGAAGACCTCCGGGAATTTACTGAACGCCAACCGGATGATTTCGTTCGATACAAGATCGGGTCCCGGAGCCTTGCCTGATGGTATTCTAGCAACGGCGCGACCCACTTCTTCAATGGTTATCTGGGGCATCGACGTAAGCGCATCAGATAGATCTGCCAGAAATGCCGGTATTTCCACCACCAAGGGGATGTCTTTCCAGACCGTGGGGGGTGGTGATGATAATAGTCCACGGGCCACTCTGACTGCAAGTTCCCGGTCCAAGGTCAAGGAACAACGTCCGAGCTTTTTCGTCACCAACCTTTACGGGATTTCCCAGGGATTATTGTCCACGGAGAGGCACAGGTCCTTCCAGCTCTTCTCCTGGGCTATCCCGATCACACGCTTAAGCTCCACTCTCGGTCTACTATAAGCCTACCGTTCTGCTTCACGTGACGTCCCCGGTGACCTGTGCCCGACACGCTGATAGCTTCTACGAGCGGCTCTTGCGGTCTTGCGCAGATCCGCGATTTCACTGCTCCACCAGTGGCCTCTTCCCTTTCAGGACGGCTCTGCGTGGCATCGTCACGTCGCATGCTGTCGTCAGGAGATGGTTGAGACGGTCGGCGTGACAGTCGGAAGTCGCGGTTGCAGACAACCGAGAGGGGGCACCCACGAGGTCCCAAGAGATGCCCACCACCTCCGGATTCAGCTTTTTGACCGACCAGCCGGCGGTCGAGGCTCTTACATGACCACTTGTGTAGCGGTGAGCTTTTGGTGGTATCATGGTATATTTTATATATATGTGGTCGCTCACGGTGTAGTCCTCGAGTACCTTCCAACCCCTCACCAGTTGGTGGTTGATCGGTGAGGGCTTCACCATCGTTAGGTCAATGACTGAAACCGCATTCACCCTCCGATATTTCGGTGTAGACCTCGTGTTGCAGACCATTATTCCGAGTGACATCGCAAGATCCGACAAGAGAGCCCCTCGTAAGTCATCCGTGGCCGATCCCCATCCGGCAGAGTGCGAAATCGCCAGTTACAATGAGGTTGTCCTGACCACTGGATGCGTTTCGGATAGACGCTTCAAGGCCACCGAGGAAAGCATCCAACACCAGAGTCGTGCAATTGGGACTGCAATAACAACTGTAAAACAGTATTCCCTCGACTCTTGCCCAAGCGAAGCCCACGCCAGCACCGTGGTTGGTCACCACCGGGCGTGTCTTACCCATGACAAATATGCCGCACTTTCCGTCGGCACTCTGGATCCACCGCTCGTCATCACCCAATGGTCGGTGGTAATCGCTGATCAAGGCAATCGTTGCATCGACTTCGGTAATGGTCTGGAGGAGCAGTTGTTGAGCCATCCAACAGCGGTTTAGGTTTATCTGAATCACATTGATCCTAACCGAAGGGACTGCTCCCGGAGGGTTGCTGTGGTTTGGACACATCACAGCTGTTCGGTCGTCGCCTGAGACAGGTCCACAATTTTGGCGAAGGCACTGATTACCGGGGCAGGAGCCTTGCAGATGACCGCCCTGTGTCCGGTCTCTCCGCAGCGTCTGCAGCACTCCTTCCTGTCTGGGCCCTCACATGCTTTGGATGTATGACCATAAGCGAGACAGCGGAAACATCTCACTTTCACTTCAGCCATCCTAACTCTGCAGCTAACCATGCCGACCCGCAGCCGACCGGAACTGATTAGTCCATTAGTCCCGCCCAACGGGAGGGATACTAGTGCAATCTGGAAGCCTCCGAACCTTTTCCTGATGCTAATGACCTTCATGGTCTTCTGACCAATACCGACAGAGCTAGATACGGCCTGGAGCACTTCGCTGGAGCTTGTCCACTGGTCGAGATCCTATATCTCCACCAAAGCTCTTTGTTGAAGATCTGGCACCTCAATCCCCGGATCTGCGGACCACCACTTTAGCGCGGACAGCCTCGACCCGGGTCCGGTCGCCACGGACTTCTATGAGCAGACCGCCAGACTTGGCCTGTCGCGAACCCACCACACTGTCACCGATGATCTCTGGACTCACCCCGCCCCGAATTCTCCTGGCCAGCTCTAGGAACTCTTCAGTCCTGACTGAGAATTGCTGATGGGCGCGTTCTGGCACGAGGCTCGGTGGTGGCGATCCTGGCAACAGGTGCACCACCGTCCGGCTTAATGGTAGACAGAACTGGTTTCGCCATTTTCTTTTTCCTTTAGAAGGTTAGGTTCTTCCTTTGGAAGGAGCGTTCACCTACCTAATTCTAAATCTTACCAACTTTTTTTAGGAAACCCATAAGGTCTAAGCCTCTTCTGTTACACATATGTGTTCTTAAAAAATTAATTTTCATAAGGCGTAAAAATAAATTTCCCTCAAAGAAAAAGAATTCTATACATATGCCTGCTCAGTAAAAATAAATTGAAATACATTAGTACTGTAATATATAAATAAAAATAAATATAAGTACTTTATATATTATAACTACATATTATTTCTTTATTCCACTTTTTCAAATTAATCAAAAAAATAAATTTTTATGTAATATTGTAAGATTATAATAAGTATTGTATATTCAATATTGTATTTTAGTGACCAATGCCATAAAACGTCCAACCGGACTTTTGGCGACTTAAATTAAAAAGGACGCATAATCTTACCTAAAATAAGAAGCTCCAACCCTCCCCCACTTAAATCACTGATGCACAACACTGTACATATTGTACATGTCGCCTAGTCGTTTTCCTCACGATTCACCACTGCAACCCTCTAAAATAACGTGTTAAAAAATGTATTCATCCCGAAAACCGACGACCGTGCGCTAAACAGAATTTGACGAGAAACTACGCCCACGTAGAAAAAATAAATAAAAATAAAAATTATAATTAACATCAGTATTTCTCGCAGGCAATATTATGACGATATCGTACATAGCCGGTACGACGGCGGGCAGCTTGTTCGCGTACATACTGGACCGAATCATACACTTCGAAATCGACTACCCATTTAGCTCGGCGGGCGAGTACCACAGGTTACCGGGCACTATCATGCTCAGCAATCTCGAGGTGTTCAACCAGAGCATTTTGATGGTCGTCGACCCCGTCAACGGCACATCGTCGTCGCCGTCGTCCGTGCCACTGCTGCAGACTACCGCCTCACACCTCAACACAATTCATGTCAATTCCACAGCGACCATGTACCCGGTGTAATATTCTCGGGCTCCGCAGCCACTAAATGTACACATAATAATAATAATAATAATACTAATACCGATACACAAAATGATATTACATTATGTATTGTGTATTTACAGGGTGTCCCACGAAGATACGCCTGCTTGCGTTTTGCTATGTCCTTGGATAATAAAGACAATCAAATTCTGTAAAGAGAAAAACACAAGTATTCATATTTTAATTACATTTTCATGTTTTAGTGAAAAAAAATATATTTTATAATTTATAGTGTTTTGAAATTATTAGAAAATGAAATAAGATCATATCGAAACATTGTGTTATGCTACACTATTTTTTCGTAAACCCAATATTATGACAAATCAAGAGATAATAACGAAAACAATAAAGTTGAAACGTCAACATTTTTAAAAGAATAAACCTTATTATTAAACTTATATATTTTCAATTTTCTCGAAATTAATGTATAAAATTATTTTTTTTAATTCTTTACCAAGACATAAAAATGTAATGAAAATATAGAAATACTTTGTAGTCCTTATTTCTCTGACTCATATTCAATTAACAGAATTTGATTATCCCCGTAATCTCAGAATACATATTTGAAATGGGTTTACCTCCGTGGGTCGACCTGGAATACATACAAAGCCATTCAAAAGTCATTAACAAATAGTAAATATAATATATATGTATAATAGGTATATGAATATAACTTTTATATTATATTACATACTGTTATGTCGTAAAATACGATAATATTATCATCGTTCATCATAAATATTTTTCCATCACGTACAGTCACAATTTAAGATATACGATTTAAGTTATATCTTAACCGTGCGTATAGTCAATGTTAATTATAGTAAATATTATTTAAAGTATTAAATAAGTATTTAAATAAGTATAGACATTTTTCAATAGTAATCTTGTAATTTATTTTTAAAACTATATGGAGAATGTAACTAAAAGATATGCCGAGTTCCATAACAATAATAATTTTCTGCAAAATGTTCAGAATTCCCTGTTACTCTATGTATTTATATTTTATAAATATTATTCTATATCAGCGTTCTGCGATCACTTCTAGTTGATCTCAGACTTCAAAAACTTGCCATCTTGTGATCATCTAGAACAATATATATTATATTCATGTTGAAATTGTAATTTTTAATTTTTTATCGTTTGATAAATATATGTGAGAAATATAAATGTTTACCTTCGGCAGCTATCCGTTGGTACTTAAAATGATATGTAACTTGTAAAAAAGTTAGAGATCAGCTGTGAACAGAGTTGCTCATCTAATAATTAAATTGATTTCTGTAAAATTGCTGCCGTATTTATTTACCCACATTGTCGATGTCAAAGATATAAATATAGTTACTGCATTTATTTATAAAAAAAATTGATGGAGAGAGGAGAGATCCGAAATGCCGTTTGACACTCCGGAAGATAAAAATAAAAAAGTCACCACCGTGACAACTGTTGTTATATGGACATATATGTATATATATATTATAGGTACTTATTTTTATAATTTCTATTTTATCCCAAGACAATCTCTCTTCTAGTACTAAATGTTACCCTAATACTACTAAGATTTCACGGTTATCATAAGCGCAACTAGGGTTTTATTATTAGGGGCTACATTTTTTTTTTTTTTTTTTTTTTGTATCACATTGGTAAATGACCCTTATCTTTTAATTTGTATCTTTACCTATTATGTGAAGAACAGATAAATATTTAAAGAGCTTATCTACCCTTAGTCTTCAACCAATTGCGCCTATGACGATTATAGAAATTGAGATATTTTAGCAATAATAACACAGGTCTAAAAAAAAAAAAAAATGTAAAAGCTGTCCTGTTTCTAATCACATTAGTCATTAGTCATTCGATGGCATCAACATTTGAACATGTTATCTACTGATGAATTGAAGAATAAAACTGCGTCCGATACAGCAGACTATATAGATTTCATAAACAATCTATTTGATTGTCTAAATAGTAGAAATATATTTAGTAACAATCCATAAAATTGTGCATTATCCGATTCCGGTCAAGTTAAACCATTTCTTTTGAATGCAGAAAATTATTTTAACGACTTCCACAAAATTAATGTTAAAGGAAAAGTAATTCATCTACCATATTTTAGTCGATTTACACAAATCATAAACGGAGTTTTGAGTTTTTCTGACGATGAATTCAAAAATAATAATATACAGTTCCTATTAATGAACAGACTAAATCAGGATGCACTGGAAAATCTTTTTTCTAACGGCGAGGACAATCGGAACTTCATTTAGAAATACATGCGTTTTTTTTTCTTTAATAAATTCTGAAGGTACTAACTGTGAAAGTAGTCAACATTTGGACGATCCGGCCTTGGTGCAAGATATAATCACACCCGACAAAACAATTACAGACGAAAGATCAGAAACTAGTTCAGATTCAAATTCATCTTTTTTATCTTCCTCATCCATAGCAATAATACCAGAAAAATGTGAAACGATTTCAATACAAGAAACTACGCTAGAAGATTGTTGTGTGACATATTTTTCAGGATACCTAGCATATAAGTGTATGAAAAAATTTAATTGTATCGACTGTAAGATAAATCTAACCTAAAAATTTAACTAATAAGAATCAAATAATTTTAATTCAAAGAAATTATTCTAATCTCGATAAAAATACAGGACTTATGGCAACATCGAATCAATTAAATAATGTAATAGATCACACTTATTGTAACCCCGAGAGCCCTTAAACAAGGAAAAAGGTAATCAACCCATAATACGTATACAATGTATAATACGTTATACATACCCACGACCTATACACATATACTTTATTATCCCCATATATACTATATTTATTTTGCTTTTGTATTTTCGGGTTATCACAATTGGTTCAAACGGCGGACGGCCACACTTCTTCGACCAGTGGAACTGCCGTCTTTGACATAAATATTGGGGATTTTAACATTTCTTTATCCGCCATCATTATGGACAACTTATATTGCGACGAAATAGCAGGACATGACTATCTCGTCGAGCACGAAATCTCCTATTGTTACGCCTCATGCATCATTCACTGAGTCGCGAGGAAAATCACCGTATGTTGGAATGGTTGCACCTACACGGTTCTCGACCTATAAGGCTTGGAAATATCGAAAACACGCGCGAAACATTTTGAAATCATCTTCAAGTCCACCAACATTCAACACGGATAAGGAGCAGTTAGCGTCGAAGTCGACCGGAACGAGGTCAATCCCGCCGACAACGGAGACACCATCAGGACAACACCGACCACATCATCCCCTCCTGGCCGACTAGATGCTGTCGGCAGCCTATAGTGTTAAAGTAGACTCATTTGCCCCGGACCAGTGCGGTCAAGCTGGAATCAACGGACAGATCGATCACCAGCACCGGAGGCCCAAACGAAGCCAACCAAATCCACAACTGACTGACTATACATCACAGGGACGGCAGAACGGACATGGAGTTGGCACGTTCCGAGACTGTCGGTTTGAAGGGGGGAGTATGACACGGCTACTGTTATCACAACAGCCGTCAATGACCGCGTCTATTTTTCCAATCAACCACCAGACCGCGGATCGAACCGTCATCACGACCCCCGGTTTTCGATCCAACCTAGGAGGGGGACCTGGAACGGTCGCGAGAACGTCGGGTCGGACTGGCATCGAGTCCGATATGTGTTCCGCGGCTGGAAAACCATAACCGTCCACCAGAAACCATTATTTCTGTCAATTGTGTTTTGTGTATCGATTGTATTCACGCAAGTATTTATATATAAATATTTTATGGAAGAATAAGACGCTAAAAATGATTTTTGTCATCAGGCGCTGACTTTGCTAGGTACCAGTAACGTACTTAGACCTGAACTTTGGAAGTGGTTTTAATTTTTAAATTAACATATTGGATGGCGTAACTCTTGAACATAAAAAAAACATATCGTACATTTTAACAAATTATAAATGCGTTTCAACGTTGAAAAGCTCCGTTCTACGCTAGCAACTGTGACGGGCAACGTAGCGCCAGTTTTTAAATATTGGTATACTTTAGGGAACAGTAACTCATCACAACAACTAATTGCATCTATAAAAGTACAAGGAAGATTATTTTCTGCGGCTATCCATCTTTATTTCCACAATAAAACTTATTTGTAATACCTAAGTACAATATGATATTACAGGTACCAGATATTTTATTTTCTCATAAAAAGTTAATTCATCCTAAAAATTTCGGGGTTGTTTTATCCTCCCTGTTTGTATGTCACTGCTAGGCATAGTACTGTATATGTGTATTGTGAAAAATTAAAATTACTTAACTAATAATGAACATATGAATTATAAAAACTGATAATAGTATATAATTAAATCAAGAAGTCGAGAGGTAGATTTCTCTCATTTTATTATTTTAAATTTCCCATTATTATAAACTAACTACATCTTCGTTCAAGTAAATAGAAATCATAGGAAAATTGTATCTCTGTCTCTATTTCATTACATTTCAAAAAAAAATTCCTGATAATATACGGATCAATAAAAACTTCATATTAGAAACCTATTTTTATAAAAATAAATCGGTGACATAAGAAAGAAGTAGACTTTTACATTGAACAGAATACAATATACATACATTGTTAAATATTCATATCAAAATCTACTAAACTTCGTCTACTTTTTAGATATATATACTTATAAAATTATAATGGCAATACCATTAGAATTCTTCCAGTGGAAATCTCTTGATTGCAGGATAATTGAATATTCTTTAAAAAAGTAAAAAGAAATCATATTTTTAATTATATTTACAAAATATATTTTAAGTACATCATATTCTATTTTTTTTTATTAAGTAATAAAAATAAATGTATTTACAAAATAATAATGCAACACTTAATACATTTTACAATTATTATAAAAATTGATTCTATTGTATACAGAATTGAATACATTAAGTAGCAAAATAAATTTATTATACACATATAACTTTTTACTGTACATAAATATACAATAGAAAAACAACATAAAATGAAGATGTGTACAAGAGTAAACATTTTACTTTGTTAGTTATCAATTTTATAAAGAAAAAAATGTTAAACTAAAATCAAATTATTAGATTTTGATTATAAAATAGATGCCTACCAAGTTGCAAATTAATATATTTATTTAATAATTAATTTGACTAACACAAATTGTACGAGTTGGATTTTTTTTTAATATTCTTCTATCAAATTAGAAAATACCATAAAAATCTAATATAATTACGTTAACATTTTAAAAATGTTTTTTTCAATATTTTGATCTTAAAAAATCTAAGTTTATACACACAAAATTATTGAAAAATATAAAAAAAATATTATAATTAAATTTAAAAGCTAACTTTGAAATAATTTGAAATTATATAATATAATTAGTCATAAAAATAATTCAATGATTTGTATAGAAAATATTAATAAACGTATACAAATAAAAATGTTTTGTTTTATTTAAATTAAATAAATACTAAAAAAAAAAAAACTAATAATACTAAAATTTAAGAAATTTAAAATATTTTTGGTATTAAATTCCATTTCGCTGAACTCTCATCATACATAAAATGGCCTACTTCTATTTGCCAATATGTTGACATACGGGTACATTTATAGGCCAAAGTAACAAAGTAATATAATGGATATAGAAGTGCAGGCCAAGTCGATTGAATACTTCCAAGATTTAGTTCAAATATTGGTATGGTTAAAGCTAAATGAACAATGATGGTTCCTAAGAAGCTAGGATACCTTATAAATGATCCAGTGCCATCAGCAATAATTGTTATACCTACAATTAAAATAATTTTCAGCATAATTTAAATTATAATAAAATCATCAAAATATAATAATTACCTGAATGTCTATGAGGATAATTGAAAGATCTATAAAATTGGTATTTTTTAAAATCACTATATCGTTGACATACAAATCCAAGGAAAAAAAGAATTGAAGAAATACTCAAAATTACATAATTAACTGGTCTAAAATAAAATATAAAAGCGTTAATCAATTATAATTCAATTAATAAATACACACTTACACATTTTTAGAGAGTAAAACTTGAATTGGTAAGAAATTAATAGCTGGTTGAATAAATTGTTGAATTACAGTCCAATATCCATCTTTTTCTTTATTTAAATAATAAGATTTTGATAAATGAAATTCAAATATTAATTTGTCAATAGCAAATAAAATTTGCAATCCAGCAACAAAATACAGATGAACATTAGCAACATTAGCAGTATTTTTGAAAGAATCCAGAATAACAAGAGAATTAAATAAAATCTACAAAAAAAATAAAAAAATAAATAAATAAATAAATAAAATAAATCAAGAAAAAAAAAATTACCGTTAATAACCAGGAATATTTGTACAGTGCTAATTTTACATTAATTGGTCCTAATGTAGAATAACTAGTCGTTCCATTAAAAAATCTTAGAACACTGTTCGTAATATAATATTTAATTTTTAGTTTAATGTACTTTGCTTTAATGAACATTACTAAAGATAGGATAAAAGCATATAAGACAGATGCCACAACGTATGGTACTGTTTTTTTAGCAATCATTTCTAGAATTAAATGTATTGGGACTTGGTAATAATTCATACCAACAACAGTCAATAATGCAATAATCAAATTGAAAAATCCTAAAACAAGACAAAACATTACATTACATTATCAGAGTAATATCATTTATTTTAATAACTAACCTGAGAACCTGTAGTGACCATTACCGTTTACATCATTATCATCATTATCAAACTCATCAAATTTTTTTCCCAATGGTATAAGTGAGATTAAAAATTGATAAAACAAAGAAGCAAAAGTCCAAATAAACACATCTTGATCATAATAATTTGCAACTCGTAAATATCCTCGAGGAAATGGTATTAAATTTCCTTTCTAAAAGAAAATTCAGTAATAGTCTTTGTAAAAATTATATTTTATATATAAATTAATTACCGCTTTTAGACCAATTATGGCGAGAATAACCAAAATTGGTGACAATAAAGACAATATGAGATTGCCAAAAGATCTCTTAAATTCTTTTTCTATTTTTTGGAGTTTCATATCATTAATTAATTCATAATCGGCACCCTCATTAACCTCATCAACATCATCTTTATCATAAGTCAATCTAGAAGAAATTGATGCTGCTGATACCTGGACAAAAATAAACAATAAATAATTTATCAATAATCAGACAAAAAAATATCACAACTGATTATATGTACAAATAGGTGAAAGAACTATACATGCCATTGAATAATTATCCAAGGAAAAAATAGACAAAAACCAAATCATTAAAACTTGGTGAAATAAAAATTAGATACCATTAAAAACATAGAAGTTGCTCCTCCATTAAATCATTATGGTTATTTTAAAATAACAAGTGACGTCAAAGGGTCTCTTAGTTAGTCGTCTACATAATTTATAACATGTATATCCTTGAAACGTCTTCATTCATTTAATTTATATATTAACTTAGAATATTCAAAATGAAAAAACAATTTTTGAGTTAAACAATTTTATCTATTTTCTTTTAATCTGATAACAATATCTTATTGGAATAATAAATATTTAAAGTTAAAAATATTTATTTTGTATCCATAATTTATACATTTTTTGCAGTAATTGTATTGTTAGCAAATTTAAATGGATTCAAAACCATTCAACTTGCATACTTTCTACAAATTCACTACTCATTTATGTTTACTTGGGTTCTTCCCTGGACATCTAATGGTCGTAATCCATAAATACATCAATATCACAAATATTTGGCTCAGAACTATATGATTTAAAAGACTATTATACATACTGTTTGACACACAATAATGAATGCCACATGTTCAATATTTTACAATGAAATATCAATATAATATAGATTATAAATAACAAAATAAGATGAATTTGGTAAAAAATTGTAATGGTATTTAGGAAAATCCATACATCACACATACATTATTATTGTTTAAATTTGTATAGTCATATAAACACAATAAAAAATGTATAAATTATAGATATAAAATACATTTTTATACATTTAAACTTTAAGATCTTGAAATCAGATTATAGGATAATTTCTAACCCTTTTTTAATACGAAAATCGCTTTAACAAACAAATAAATCAATGAAGATGCATGGATAATGCAATGCAAAAAAGTGGTAGAACATTTTTCCATTTTTCAATATTTCTTGAATTTTCCTTGGATAGTTCTTTAAATATATAATATATATGAGAAAAATATACCTCATGATTTGATTTATCTACAAAAGGACTACTTCTAACATTGTTTTCTTTAACAGGAGTCACACTCTTCCTTATCTTTGAATCAACAGGTGTAGGTTTCTTTTCTAATAACATAACATCAATTATAAATTAATTAAATTGAATATAAATTTATATCAAAGAATAATGATAACTACTTTTGGCATTTTTAGAAATTTCCATAGTATCATCAAAACGTTTAAGCACTATTTTTGGAACAATTCTTTTGGACGATCTGGACCGGGATCTTAATTTTCTTTCCACTGATTTACTTTTACGACGAGTTGGTGTGGTTGATTTTTTAGATTTAGTTATAGAATTAGATGATTCATCTGGTGAAGCAACAGCTTCTTTTCTTGATCTTCTAGTCAACATGACAACCTTAAAAATAAAATAAAATTAATATTAAAACAAGTTTCAACCCAATATTTAACAATGGCATCATATAGTTTCATTGCCAGTAGAAATACATTATTTTGGCATAAATAGGTACCGTCAATCAAAAAAAATTATTGAATCTTAGGAGAATTAAAAAAATTACAGATTTTCCAAGGAACGTAGAATTGTCTTGAAATTAAAAAACTAAAAAAACACACGCGTTAATATAATTTTAATAAAGAAAAAAAAATTATAAATGACAGAATTTAATACTGAAGAGAAAAGTTTTAGTAAACTCTTAATGCGTGCAGAAGACATAGGAGTATCATGGTTGCCGTCAAGATTGCAACGAATTCGCCGCGTAGGTATTTTCGAACGACGTGATTAAATCGTGTCGCGTTGATCGTCTGCCAATTTAAACGTGGAACGAAAATAACGACTTTGGTCAACTACTGAAGCCCGCCATTTTTAGACTCTGCGGGAGACAGATACCGCCAATAAAATGTATTATTAAAATAGCCAAAATTCGACAACCTCAATGTGTTGATCACAGTACAGTCGGATATAAATACGATAAATGAAAAAAAAAATCGATAAAAATCTAAACAAATGAAGAAATATATGAAGAATCAATGTCGTACGCAATTGCGTAATTATCTGTGGTTTGCAAGTAAAAAGAAAATGCAAACCACGATTAATAACGAAGTCCACTCACCTGTTATTTCTCGTCCTCGTAAGTCAAATGACGTCTTACTGTTAAGGAAAAATTAAAAACGAAACTGTAAAATCTTGTAACAAGAAGATGACAACAGAAATATGAAAACGAGGGAATTTTAACCGGATAGATTATCAGAACGAACAATGATGTAAACATTGTAAACAACTGTGTTTACGGCGGTGACGCCTCTTGGGCGTACGTCATTGGTGGATTTTTGAATAGTTCGTATACACCGCGACCTTTTCCGTTCCATGAGATGATGGTCTTATTGTTGGTCCAGTTAACGGAAAACCAGCCACCGAAACCGGGGGGACTGGTTAACAGCGGGTTTCATATCGTAGAGACGCATACGTAGACAGCAGTTACTATTGGCGGGTTCCACATTCCATTTATTTGCTCCGACAAATCGACCAATCGAATATTTCGCATCTCATAATTTATCCTTTTCCTTTCTTTTTTTTACTAAACAACAATAAAAATCTCACATTTACATTAATCCTCTGCCCAAGCGCGCCCGCAGGATAAAATCCCACCAGGGGCAAGATAAAAATTACTTAAAATATAATATACTCACTAATTAACTAATAGTAGAGTTAAATTAATAGTAGTATTTAATAATAAAATAATAATATTTAGATGTTTAGTAATTTGACTTAAACAATATTCTTTTATTTATTAAAGTTTGTAGGTACATTTAAACATTATTAATTATTAAATAAAAATTGAACTCTTCTTGGTTGCATACAAAATAACTGAATAACATCATCTATAACCTTTTCTTTTTCTGTTTTAACAATGTCTTTATGAATATACAATAGAGCTAATCCATTTAATCTATCTTCTGAGATTGAATTACGGATCCAGGTTTGTAACCTTTTTAATGAACTGTAAAATGATAGTATAATAGTTTCAAGATGTATGTAATAAATTATAAAATAAAATAAACAAGTTTTTTTATTCTGGAAAGTTAAACAATTTAATTTAGATTTGAAATAACTTTTATTATTTATAAAAAATCTATAAGTAAAACCATGAAATTAAATTGTTTACTTTTATGGATTTTTTTATGAATACAATAATTATTATATTATTATTATTATATATTTCAGGTATATTATTATTGAATAATAATATACCTGAAAGACCTTTCAACACTGCAAGTCGTTGCTGGAAGTGAAATTGCTATCATAGCACACATTCGTATAGAAGGAAGTAATTCAGTTTCTTTTAAAACATCAATGAAATCCATTATATCTGACACTTCTTTTGAACTCCACATATTATACCATACTAAACCTTCTACAATATTGTCCATAAATTCTCCATAAAATTTTTTAATTCGATTGAGATGCTCAGCTATTTCCTCTCTTGAAAACTTTTTTAAACTTTTTGGATGTAGAGAAAATATGCAAAAAGCATCTTCATTTTTTTTTTTTTAAACCGAAATGTTAAAGATGATATTAATAAGTCCAAATATGGAAGAAAAACTAACATTCTGTAATAGTCAATTGGATTATTTGTAGGATAATTTGATCTTAGTGTCTGTTTTGAAGTAATTCTGAGTACCACAAATTCAATACCAACATCATCAGCATACTGTTTAATATCTTTCATCAAAATGTTAAAAACCTGTTCACTACTACTTCTATCAGCTGAAATAATATCAGTCAAATTTTGTACATGCTTGTGTACTGAAAATAAATCAATATCTACACCTTGTAGTTTGTTAGTGACCGGTTCAATAATAGCTGAATATTTTGCAATTACCCTTAAACAAACTAAAAACTGTAGAGAAGTTATTGAATTAAAAATATATACTGATTTAACTGATGTGTCCTTATTACCATTAATTTTAAGATAATTAAGAGCTTCAACAATATCAATATACTTTTCATAGAACTTCCTCAAAGCCTTGTGGGATTCTAACCATCTCGTTAAACACAATTTTGTTAAACTTGGAGCAACTGAACTTCTAAGAGAACTTTCTTTAATAATTGCGATTGTATTCCTAATTTTTGGAATATAATTTAATTCATTCAAAACTAAATTTAATTTGTGACTTGAACAATGTATATATATTGCTTCATTACACTTATCTTGAATTCGTTTTTGTACCCCACTAATATGACCAGACATAGTGCTAGCACCATCATATCCTTGACCAATTAATTTATTTAAGTCTAATCCCCAATCAAGCAATGACTTAATAATTACATTTGAAATATTTTCTGCATCTAATTTATTAAGTGCTATAAATCCAAGAAAATCTTCTCTCATAATTGGGGATTGATTTTCTATAAATGTATACCTTATACATATTGACATTTGTTCTGTTCCACATATATCCATTGTTTCATCAGCAAGGATACAATAACATTCAGCTTTTTTAATTTGTTCCAAAATTATATTTGAAGTAATAGTCCCAAAAATATTAATAAATTCATTTTGAATATGATGTGATAAATAAGTTGCATTCTTTGGAGCATTTTTAAAGTGATCCTCTAAAATATTATCACCACATTCTACTCTAAACTTCAACAAATCATTAAACAATGCAGAATCGTCAGAATGACCTCTTAATGGTAAGCCATGTGTCCCAAGAAAAAATATTGATGAAACTATTGACTTTAGCTTTAATGTATTAGTCTCTGTCATTAATTGAACTGAATTATCAATCATTTGATGAACATTTGTTGTTTTGTTTAACATAACAGAAATAAAATCTTTAGATTTTAATGTTGTAAACTTATGCCAATCACTATTTAAATGAACTTTTGCTTGCTCATGAAATTTTTTATAGTTACAAAAAACGTTTTTTATAAATACACCTTTAAAACTACCTCTTTTAATTGGAGATTCAAATAGTACACAATATTTACATAATGCACCTTTCAAAACAGAAGAATAACACAGCCAAACATAATGCTTAAGCCATTCATGTAAAAAGGGCCTTTTCCCATGTGTAATATCAGCTTTAAAGTTATATTTTAGACTTGGAATCCATGGGGCCATAAGAAGTTGGTATTTAAGTAAGTTATCTTGAATATTTGTATTTAAAAAAGACCAATATCATAATCTGCTTTAATTTCATTAACAGAAGTATCATAAACATTCATCTAAAAGGACAGTATAACTTTATAAAAATGTTATCTGTTGAATTTATTTAATTAATTGACAGTAAAACACACTCTTACCTTTAATTGCTGAGTAGTCGAGTCACAAGAATTAGATGTGCTCATGTCCTACAATTCGTTTAAAAAAATTGATTAATTAAAAACAGTTAACTAGTACCTAATAAAGTAATAAATATTTACGGTGGATTGAGATTGTGTTAAAATTTCTTCAGTATCATCAGTTTTTTTTTTTCTTTGAAAAATATGAATATAAATTTGTATTTCTTTTACTCATGGCTATACGGTAGAAGTCTTATATTTTTTACTTTTTAGATAATACTAACAATAAGTATAAAAGTATCACAGTTACGGTCTACTGAATACAAAATGACACGACTAACTGGGCGTCACTGATCGCGTTTCCGCGAGTTATTTTATCTATACTTGTTGTCGTATCTGGGTAAAATGAACCTATTAAACTGACTAAAAATAGCCAATTACAAAATCAAATAAATTATAATCATTAAGATTGGGAGATTCTATATTTTGTATCCTGCTAGGTAGAAAATATTACAATAGTTCGTGATACTATTGATGATAATTTGTAATTCCGTATTTTGATTACTGTTGATTATATTAATTAATATAATTACTGATAAGCTCGAAAAAGTTTTATTCTATACGACTATATATTATTTTATACTTTTTATGGAAAAATGGAATACCATGCATGATATTAAAGTACAGTTAAAAATTCCCAAGGGGGGCAATGGCCCCGTTGGCCCCCTTGTGGGCGCCCTTGCCTCTGCCAGAAAATTTAGAATACAATTTAACTTTTAACCATTTTTTTGTTTTTTTTTTTAATGTTAGTAAAATAAGATACTCTTAGACGCGACTATCAATATTGATGAAAATGTACGATTATACATTTTTTTAACAGTTTGAATATGATAATTAATTATAATATTATATAATAGTGAAATAAAAATTATTATATTAGCTATCTACAACAGTGGCGTAACAAGATGGGAAAGAGCCCCGGGGCAGAAACTAAATTAGGCCCCTTGATTCTACAGAGTTTTTTCGTCAATGCTACATAATATTTTTGGAGTTAAAAAATCAAATATTTTGCTGACTTAACTCATACCAATAGAACGTTTATTTAATCGAGTGATAATTATTAACCATATGGTTATTTTAAATATCTCTTTTCTGTTACCAAATCGGTGATTAAAAGCTAATTCATGTTTTTTAATTTTGTTTTGCCGTTTTACTTGAAAATTAAGATCAATATAATATTTTCTTGCAGTTTCTGTAGCCTTATTGCAAAATGATTCAAAGTTATTTCTGTAAATCTTCAATATGAAAATTTAAATTGTCTTTGGTCTCTTCTGAAACGTTACTTGCTGGATCCAAATCGATATAAATTTTGTAAAATTGTTGATGCATAATTTATGTTGTTTAAAACAGAGAACATAAATTCACAAAGCAACACAAAATCAAATTTAAACAATGGCGCAACTAGGGGTGAGGTTTGGGAATTGTAACCCCTCCTTCGAAATTTTTCTGAGATTTTTACAAATTCTAAGTAAAAAAAAAAAAATGGTTTATCTTGAACACGCGAAACGGCTGATTGATATGAAATATGAATATTATTCGTAATATAATAGATAACAATAATAACACGACGTTTTGTAACGTTCCGATCAATTTTAATACATCAATAACCATGCTACTACGAAATCTCGATAGTCGATTGTATAATACTTTTTTTTTGTGGTATCACAACCTGAAATAGAAGTTAAACAGTTTAATTTGTAATTTAAATATTTTACTCATAATACTAACTTAACTTTATTTTCTATCCCCACTAAACACCTGTTTATTTTTTCCAAATTCACAACTTCCCTCGAAAATCAATCCTGGTTGCGTCACTGAATTTAAACATTTCTTTTTTTAATAATATTTGCTTCTGTTCGAACATAGTTAAGTTCCTGCCGGAATCGCCAGAGACGGCTCATAATAACCCACCCAACTGGAGACACTGTCTAGCGGTTTAGCTTTCCCCTCTCTGTCGCATACGGACTAAAGCAACGGCAAGCAAAGGCCGTTGGTGAAGTCAACACCGGCTCGCGGCTGTCGTGCCATAGTTCTGTACGAGTTTTTCCTGTTTTTTGGTAACGAAACTTAATTTATGATCTATATTCCGGAATCGCAGTGGGCACATGACGAAGTGACTGCGTAGTGCCGTGTTTGTCAGAGTGGACGTTTTTTCGCCGTGCGCGCACGTTGCCAATGTAGTTCGAGTAATCCAGAGGGCAACTTCGGCTCAGGTGCTTATCGTGGTCTGGTCGATTCAGAGGGCAACGTCAGCTTGGGTGTTTTGTCGTGGTCAACCGATCAGGTCGTGCTTTTTATTGTATTATAACACGATTATGTGTATTATTGCCAATGTTCCACTTTGGTATTAGTTATTATTCATTATTGTATTATTGCCCATACGGCACCTCGTTTTGTTGTTATAATTAAATATTTTGTATTACCATTATTATTATTTTTATTAATATTTTCCCCTCCTTGGGCGCCCGTCTCTATCTTTTTTTGTATTATTTAATTGCTCATTAAAAGTAAGGCGGTGCTATTTGGCCCGTCATTTAACAACAACAAGGACTTATTTATTTTAATTATAATTACGACTGACCAACTTAATCCCAACACCTCACGAACCGTCACCGCCAACCGCCATATTCGCAGGAGCGGCGTCGGCGAACAACTTCATTGCGTTCGTCAACATTTTTTGAGTTAAGAACTATTTCAGATAGAGATTTGATAATATCAAAAACCCGTAGTTTAACTGCAGTTATTGTATTTACCCTACTGGACCATCTTGTCGGATTTAATTTTTTTAAAGTGACTTCTAATTCGCTTGTAAATTTCGATAATATATCCCAACGTTTAGTACTGTTTGTAAAAAAATTAAACTATTATATTATTATTTACTATTATTATTATATTATTATTTGATGCAGAGCCAGATTAAGACATTTTGCGCCCCGGGGCAAATCTTCTTATAATTCAGATTTTTTGTCGTTGATACTTTTTTTTTATGCTAAATGGTACCTACATTATTTCAAAACTTTACGCCTATAAAATTTTGCGTTTAGTAGGCCTAGTCTGCCTAGAATGAAATTCGGCCCTGTATTTATAAGACATTATAAAGATGTGATATTTCATTAATAAATGCTAAGTAAATTAAATTTAAAATAAATTTATTCTATTTCAAGAATTTATTTTATTTATAAATTAATAATTAAGACCTTTTCCATTACAAATGTAATAACATTTGTAATGCATATTTGTTAAATAGTCTAGTTACGAACGGACATATTTATTTGTCAAAAAAAAATTTTGCCAAGTAAATCAATTATTGAGATAGAATAAATTTATTTTAAATTTAATTTACTTAGCATTTATCATGATATCACATCTTTATAATACTGAAATCTCATAAATGACTATTTTTTTTTATAATTTTTTTACATGGAGTTCGACGAAGATTTTTTTATTTGGGATATCAGTAGTTTTTTATAATATATTTTTATGTGTATATATTTTTATTTTGTGTAAAATGGTTCTATATACTGGGAATGATAAGCATAGGCGGAACTGAACTCTAAAACGTGGGTTGCTAAATCTATGAATATATTACAGAGCTATGAGGAGCTTCAGTAGAGACGTTGAAGATTTTAAATATGTGAACACAATTAATATCCGTCTAACCCAAGTCCCACATTTTTTTCTGGATTTTGGCATGTTTTACGTGCTTATTTGTACCGTCTGCAGCCCTCTTAACAATTATTAAGAAATAAATCCGTACACAATATAGTAGGTGACTCTCGCGCTAAAGACTGTGCGGTTGGGTCGTTCCAAGGTTTTCTGCACTAACTAGCGGCATTAGACCGAAATCGAAAAGCAACGGAACACTTATATCGTCTGGGTTAGTAAGCTACAACCCGAGTAGGTCTTACAGCCACGGATAGAGGTGTGTTTAACAAGAGGCAAAGAGGGAATTTGCCCATGGGCAAATTTGAAAATATTTCATACGCGGCATCCGTATGTATACTAATTTTTCAAACATTTTTTTGGTTTTTCGTAATACTCGTAAATCAATTTTTCCATTAGATATTAAATATATTATAAAATTAAATGTTAAAAGATTTAAGTATTATATGAAAAATATTTTTAATTATAATACATCTTATTTACTTATTTACTTATATCTATACGGCTATACATATATCTTATTCGAATGATTACAATATTAACACGCATTAATGTATAAACACAGTCGAGATTCGACGGACGAGGGTATTGTATTGTTGTACGCTTGTACATACGAACAGTTGTTGTAAATAGTAAATATAAATAATAATATGCATTAACCCTATATTAACTATAAATAGTTTACAGTTCTCCTTAGTATAATACATTCATATCTATGATGAGGCGGCAAAATATGGTGGCATAACAACTTAACACGCTACTGGCCCAGTGGCGGATTTAGCGTTTTGACGGCCCTAAGCTTAATCACTCTGGCCCCCCTCTATCACTCTACAATATTTGGTCTAAACCCTTCTCTTTAAATTGTATTCAGTTTTTTTATATAAAAAAAAAAATATTTAATATTAAATTTTTAAAATAGAAAACTTCTAAAAATAAAATATTGCATGTCTATTATTTTACATCAGATACCATTATTACCAGTACAAATAAACAATGCTTATACAGTCACATAACGGAAATATAAATAGCCAGATATGAAAATACCTTATACTCGGATAGTCGGATGTTCCCAATAAGTACATCATAAGTACTAATAAGTTATTAATAACTAGTAACTATCTGTAATTATTTTATTATAAATGAAATATTTTCAAATTGTAATAATAATTTTAATATTTTTATAATAGCCTATTGATACGTATCATACAATGTACATATTAATATATTATTATATATAATATAAAAATGAATCGCAAAATGTGTTGGTAAGCGCATAACTCAACAACGCCTGGACCAATTTGGCCAAATCTTTTTTTCAAATGTTCGTTAAGTTCAAGGATGGTTTTTACGGCGAGAAAAATTAGAATTATTGCTGGAAAAACCCTAAAAAATAGCCCTTTTCTTTTTCTAATACAAATGATTTGTAACTAAAACTTATTTTTATTCGTGTTTATATGACAAATATAAAAAAATATATATTAAAATAAATATAACTAATAAGTCAATAATAACCCTTAATTCTATAAAAAAAAAAAAAAACGCCCGTCTAAAAAAGCCGCCCTAGACTAAGCCTTTTAACCTGTCACCTAATCCGCCACTGCACTGGCCACGGAGACGAAAAAAAGAGTATCCTTCGGACGGCGGCGGTCGAGTTACATTTTTCGTGTGTAGGATTCGGCGATAATACATTGTAACGGACGTATGTTCTGTAAAGACCGCGCGAAAATCGTAAGGATGAAGTCTTTCATATTTTGCTAGATTCAACCGTCCATGAACGAGTCGAATTGGTTGCAATGGAAGTATCGATACAATTTATTACGTAAGAAAAAATCGATTTCGTCTTCTAGTAATGGCCGAAAAATGTTCGAAAAAAATACGTTACTACGCTACATGGTATCGTGGATACGAATTTACCTATTCGAAATAACATATTTGGAAAAGGCATTTTGACTTGTTAGCGCCTTTTGAAGTGCAATTCGAAAGCAACATAACCGGAACCGAATTATATCATATTCAACTCTAGTGACCACTGCTGCTGCAAACCTTGTGAAAATTGTTGTGAAGGAATATTATCGACAGCGACATCGTATCACGTAAGTACACCTACCTCACCTCTACGCCATCCTAAATCCTCGGCCCAGCAGGCACGTCGTCAAGAGGGGGGGCTAAAGGGGCCTGGCCCCTAAGAAAAATCAGTGGCCCCTAACTGACCCCTTTGATTTTGATTTTTAAATATTATGGTGTTTAGTTGTCCCAAACAGGCTAAATCCTGAATGTATATTCCATATGGGCGATTGTAAACTCCGCTAGAATATCGGTTGAGATAAAAAGATAATAAAAAGTCTAGTGTAAATTCCGGCAGTTTTTTTTTTTATTTACTTGCTCAGTGCTCACATTGCCACGTGCCTTCTCACATTAAATACGTTGACATCTATTGCGATGATATATGTTGAAATTGATAAATTTATTGTCATGATTCGATTCATTTCAAGGTGGATATATATCCACATCGATCCATTTATTAATAATTTTATCTTCATATTATCTGAAATTATTATTTCCAATGATGATATCGGCAGTAGGTAAGGTATACGTAAAGTATACTTTGACGAACATCCGTAGTCTGCGTATCTCCGTGTATATTTTATTTTGAACGAAATATGTCGCAACAAAGTAATAATATAAAATTAATTACTGGTCAACGAGGCAATTTATTGGTTTTATTTAACAACTAACTACAAATATAACCAAAATATAAAATATGCGTCTCGTGAAATAAAATGGAGGTATGATATTATATAATATTATAATAATAATATTCACTTATTATCAGTTGTTGCCGCCGTAAAATAGCGGCCGGTCGACGACCCGAGGATATCACAGCCTATCGACACACACGCACACATACACAAACACTCGCGTACATTAGCCGCTATTTTTGTATTTATCTTTATTTTAAATTATATTGTGAATTATATCATATGATAATGAGCTAGCGGTGCGTTATCTGCGTCGCCGGTGCGGGTAAATTTTAACACGGCCGCCCGTTTTTATATTGACGTTTCGAAACCTCCATCGCGTTACGTTAAAAATATTATTGTAATTTCCGTGTGTGATTTAATATTTTTTCTTCTTCTCGTGTCAACCACCGTCCGGGAATGTTAATGAATTATGTTGTTTTTACAATTTTTTAGTGTGTGTGCTAATCGTGATTCATTATTGTTATTTTTACGTGTGCTAATCGTCGTAATTGTTACTTGATTAAACATATTTTTTATTGTAGGCGCTAATCGCCATATTATATTAGAGTGTATTTATTTATTATTTGTATAGGCGCGAATCGCCGTTAGATTTGTATTTATTTATTTTAGAATTTAGGTAGCGGCTGGCCAGTCTGCGCTCCACAAATTGTGAGTTTTTATTATTATTATATATTATACATTTATTAATTGTTGGGCCAAAAGGGCTATCTTTACTAAGAAATAATAATTATCGCTGTTTAGTCAGAAGGGCTTTTCTTTTATACTTTATACTAATTATACTAGGCAGCTACTGTTCTAATAGCAGTCTGCTATATTAATTCATATAATATTTCATATTTATTCTATATTAATATTATATTGAGCCAGAAGGGCCATAAATTTATTTTATTATACTTTACCTATTTATTTTCAACTATATTCATATTTAATTCTGTTTAGTTATAAGGGCTACGCTGTTTATTTAGTTTATTTAGTTACCATTTATATTATATGTTAATGTGATTTCTTTATAAACTTGCAATTATTACTTAATTATTTTATAGATAATTGTTATATCTGGTTGTGCCGAACCGGCATTTTAGTTAGGCTTATTATTATATATTATACATTTTTTACTTGTTGGGCCAAAAGGGCCGTAGTAGAATTATCATATATTTTTTGTACTTTAATGTTTCTGTGATTTATTGTTTATTTATTATATTATTATTTTACAATACAGCAATATAGTTACCATATTTTTTACACTATTTTAGTTACCAGTTATTAATCTTTCAATAATTGTAAGCACACACAACACACCTACACACCCACCACACCATATAGTCGGACAGTACTTGCGCGGCGACCCCAACCACTGCTGTCCGATCTATAAACATACACACATACATACAGTGTGCCGGCCGCGATCGTATATAAAGGCGGCGTACGCGGATTATTAGCAACCGGGCGCGCGTAATATTAATTTACGCTCTCGGCGCGTACACAGTGGTTGAATTGAAAAAAAAAATAAAGGTGGACTCTAAATGTAGCTGAACAATTAGTGTTCCAAAGCAAATTAATCTAAAAAAACCCGTGGGGGACTTTGTCCCCCTCACCTCCTAAATGCATCAACAATATAAATAATTAAATATATCTAATCATTAACACAGATATCTATAACAAATAATAAACAATACTAATAGGTATTTATTTGTATAAATTCTATCAACACAGCAACACGTCTAGCAAATTTAAAATCTAAAATGTAAATATATAGCCACATGATAAAATTAATTAATCAATTAACTTTCAATTTAAAATAATTTATGTATTTTACTGTTGCCTACAAAAAGTAAATATTAAATTTATAGATTATAAATGTTACTCTTTTATTAGTATATTAATTTTTTTTTGTCAATATTAATTTTAATATTTGAAGTTTAATATTAGTCAAATAATTTATTTCATCCCGTCATATTATTTTTAGGACTAAGATTTGCTGAGAGTTAAATAATAATTATTTTTATCATAGGTATGTATATGTATTGCTTTAAAATGTATGACCAAAAAAAATTTAAGGAGCTTTTAACTGTATTTATTAACTTTTTTTTTAGGTAGGTACTAGGTACTTAAGTAAAAAGGGATAATAACTTTTTTTGGAAAATCAAGTTTTTTTTATCAATTTTATCAAATTACAAAAAAATAAAAATTGCCGGACTGACGTTCATTGATAATCAGATTGTACATCAGTTTTTCTAATAAATTTTATTCCTACTTACTTATGTTTTGTATATCTATTTTTTTTTTAAGGCGGGATTTATGAGGGTGGATTATCAAAAAAAAATAAAAGTACACCGGTAACAGGAATCTGCGCATGATTTATTATTAAATTAAAGTGTTTAATTACCTTAGTCATTGTTTTTCTTTTTATTGAAAAAGTCCGATATGGACAATTTTTGACGTTTATTCATGTTTATTTGTTTATTGCTGACGTGACGTGTAGGACTGTAGGAGTGCGGTTGAGGTGTTTACTATTTTCAACAAAATTACAATTTATAAATTACATACGCGAGTACGCGACAAGCTAACATAATACTGATTACTCATTCGTGGCGCACCTCGTTTCCAAATAAAATATAAATAATATTTAATTTTCCTTGAAAACGATCACCATTTGTTAATCGTCGATAACTAAAACAACGGACGGATTCTCAAAATACAGAGTCAATATATTATTATTGTCAATGGTTTACTATAGATCGTTATCGTCGGTACACCCAGGGAAGTTTTCGTAATAGTTATATTTTTAGCAATTTAGCAGTTTATACCACGAATTAATACGCAGTGGAAACACTTAAAACGTGTTACATAAATTATATAACATTATTATATATTTTATTATTGCGTTCCTAATATACATATGTGCTAATAATAAACAGATTACGAACTAATACCAAAAATTAAATAAAATATTAATCGTTTCCAATTTTTTTTCATATTTATTTAATTTTTCTAAGAAAAAAATTCATATTCATATAATTGTTGAAGGACGCTGCGTCCCCTGCGTTCCTTGATGAATTAAATTAAGGGGTACGCTATAATATGAAGAAAAATGAAGAGTAGCTGAGACCCTCTGCGTCCCCCCCCTCAATTCAACCACTGCTTATTATTACTTATTACGTATTACTTTCAATAATATATCATATTAATTTTATACTAATACTCGATTTTCTTCACTGGCAGTGTTTACATGTATTCAATTTTACTTGATTTTTTTTAGTAGCGGAGTTAACATGAACCCAATTTTACCTGTTTTATTTTTCTGGCAGAGTTTACAGTAAAAAAAGATACTTGTGACGGAGTTTACATGCGCCTATTCCACTATTCCATAAAATTAACGATCGTATAACAAAAATTAAATTCTGAGATTTTATTTTATAAATGTTCATCACTTGACAATTTGAGATAAAACAATAGTACGTGTATTAATATAGGGTTACCAGATTATATTTTTCCGAACCCGGGACTTTTTGAATGGATAAATATTATACATATATATATCGCCATATGAAAAAAAAAATATATATACATATATATATTTTTTAAATTAATTATGTATAGAAGCAATATAATAATAATAATAATAATCATAATAATTCATATTCTTAGTCTTCTGATCTTTTGGGGTGCAGTGTTTCTTATGTTGATTTTACTACATATTTGACTGATCCATTAACTTGTTTTAATAAAGACTTGTTTCCCAAACTTTGGTCGTGGAATTTTTCATAAAATGTATTATTGAAGCACGTTTTTATAATATACCGTTTTTATATCTAGTTATTAGGTGCGTTACCCCAGCACCCGCTCTTTCGAAATCATGAATTATAATCATGCAGTATTATGTACTTTATTTTGTAAAATTTTGTACAACCCCCGAACCTCCCCGAAATTCAATTTCATTTTACGGGTGTTGCGGTAACGTTACACCAGCACCCGGATCAACTATTTTAAACATATTTCAACTTTAAACCACTCGTCATTTTGTTGTTAAATTTTTTCAAAAATTTTGAATTGTTCGAAAAACATTTATTCATAAAAATTAAGATTGTTTGATATTATAGCTTTTATAAAGATTACTGATTTTTGACATTTTCCCAATTTACTATTGTTTTTGGGGCTAATGTTGTCCATAACATTGATTTTAAATTAGTTGTATGTTAATTTTAATTGTTCCATTTTTTTTTAAATAGTTGTAACAAAGTACATAAAATTCATCACATTAACTTTCAAAATTAGCTCTATTGATAATTCCCTCGTCCTCAAGTTTTGTTACGAGATATTCAATTTCCACCGTGAGAAACCGATCCTTTCTTTTGTTTTCAATTTTCTTGATATTTTATCGAGTAAAATGTTGAAACAGAGACAAATCGCTGTGTCCCGAAACACTTTCTCGGGGCACCGGGACACTTGGTTAAAAACCGGTAGTGTCCCGGTAAAACCAGAACGTATGGCAACCCCATATTAATAGATTGAAAACTTACTTACTTTAATTTCTGGGCTTTTACAGGCCCTTAAGGCCCTTCGCCGCAACAATATATTGTTTCCATTTTCCTCTATCATTTGCACATTCTTCTGCGTTTCTTACGTTCAGGAGTTTCAAGTCTTCCTTTACTCTATCCACCCATCTTTGTCTGGGGCGTCCTCGAGGTCTCTTAGTGTCGGGTTTCCATTTAGTTATTGATCCAATCATTCCCTCTGACCTCCATACATGTCCTGCCCAACTTATCCTCGTAAGAATAATGTTGTTGTTTCTTAACAATTTATTTTTTAAGTGGTAGGGTTGTCGGCCCTACGCACAACCCCCAACCTGGAGGACCAGTCCACACTAACTAATTAAAGTCAGTGTGGGGCTCGGGGCCCCGGGTTCGCCAAACCCGTAGTACTAGTTGCTTAGTACCCCCCTGAGGGGTTATAGATTGAAAACTAGGAATCTTTAAATCTTTGTCTTGTAGCATGGTAATTAGTCATTATTATATGGTATTCTGAAGATTTCTCATTAAGATTTTTAAACGCTACTAAATCCCAAGTTAGATGTGATAAAATAATTTGTCAAAGTGATTCATAATAAAGTCCTTGCTGATTTTTTGAAAGAATGAGTGGTAACCACTGGTGACAGTTATCTGTCTGAATTTTTTGGTTTTGAACGTTTTGTCTGAATTTACGAAGGTGCTGATAATAGTGATTCTGAAACACTGTTTAATTTATTTCATGGAAACGTTTAAGTAAATTTCGGTATAAAGTGACAGGTTTATTTAATTTAAGAATTTTTATATTTGGAGATTCTGGATGGGTTTTAATTACAATATAGGTATCCAGCCATTTTGGAGCTACTTTGTCTTTACTAGCTTTTTCTTGGATCATGAATTTTTCACCTATACTTATTTTCAGGGATTTCACTAATTTGTCGTAATCTTTCGATTTCTGTTTAGCTTCTAACAAGTGTTTCCTTGGAAGTGCGTGAGCTTCTTGCATATTTTTTTTGGGTGTATGGTGATAATTCTCATAGTTATACTGAGGATCAGGGTTTTGTGTAAAAGTTGATGGTACAACTACTGAGTTACCATACACCAATTGATAAGGTTGATATTTGGTTGTTGAATGAATAGTTG